ATTCAGAAGATGAAGAATATTTCGTTGCTTGGCCAGGAGTTTTTTAGTGAGCAGAAGAAATATCGCAGCTCAATTGTGCGGGTTATGTTTTTTTTTGTAGGATAGTTGACGACATCTCTAAATTCCCTGGTCAGATTGAGTACATATTTACTTGTCATCAAGATTGGTAGAATCAAAAGTGTCAACGTTTGGTTTTTTAAAAAGATTTGCGACATGCCATTCTGTCAGAATTAAGCCGTTAGTTGGGTAAGGTCTGAATTTGTGGGTGAGTGGGTTTATTAAGAAGAGTATTGCGTGCATCATCCCGGTGCATCGTCTGCATTCGTATTTCGCGTTGACTACGCACAACATCCAGGGTGGGATCCAAAAGCGCCTAGTCATCCCACTGCCTAGAAAAGTAGTCACGAAAAAAAATAGAATGATTTATATTACTAATATAAATAATTATAGTAAGAGTTTTTTTGACTGCGAAAGGGTTTGCCTTTATTTATCTCTCTATTTTTCTTTTGTTTTAGCATTACTTCTTTATCAAATATTTAAAATTATATTGAATTCTATTATCAACGAATAGTAAAAACCGTTATTTATTTTTATTGTTTTTATCAAAAGTATGAAAGACAAAATACCTGTATATTTAATACCCAATGCCCACCATTTTCTTAGCTTTTATCAAAATAAACTTACAGAGAGCGATATTACAATTTCCAACGAAAAAAAACCGTGGATAAAACAATCAAGGTTGTATAATTAAATAATTGTTTTGTATATATATATATTTCATTAATCGGCTGTAAAATAAAGTAAAATAAAATAAAATAACTATTTATTTATTACTTCCCATCTCGACATTACTACCGCATCATCTTTTATCGATTCAACCCACATCTTTCGAAACAATGAATAAAAATCAATAAAATACTATATACTCTGTACTTTTTTTATTATGCCGTGTGCTATTCTATGCAACAACACGCACCTTTCTCTCCTTCAAAAGTTCGACGTTTCTTGGAATAGCTGGACACTTGGAAAAGCTAATGACCTTTATTCTTTTTGATCATTTCTCCGTCCTTTTAACTTGCTAAAGTATTCTTTGATCTGTGTTATAATATCAACAATTAGGAATTCTAAATAAAAAAATGACACTCCTTTGTAAAAAAAAATGTTAAAATTATTTAAACAAAAACCGTGGATTATACTTACTCTTATCTTTCTTGTTCGACAACGAGAAAACCGATTACGCCCAGCTAACTTTTCCGACATAGATTTTGCCCTGTGAATTTTATACGAAATATGTCTACGAGCTTTCTCTTCCACGACTGAAGACAAAACATACTCTACTTCAGGCTGCATATGGATGTAGCTCTGCACCATGCTAGCAATTGGACGGTTAGATATCGAGAAGGTACCCTCATCAATATTCAATGGCGTAGCTGTCATAACTGCTTGTGTTTGAGAACGGATCACACTGAAAAAAAGGGTGGAAATTACAATGCGCACAGTTGTTTGATAACAATTGTAAATGTGGGATAGTTTTCCATGTTCACAAGTTGAAAACACAGCTTTACTGTATTCTATTGGCTCGGATATAACAAGCAACAAAAGTTATTCTATTTATTATTATAAAGACTTTGTGAATAAAGTACATGTAGCACCTGTTTCCTTTTTCTCAATTTTTTTTAACAAAAAACACAATGTTCTCAACCCCTCAACCTTACAATAAAAAGTGCTATTGCGCTGGATGTAGTCAGAACGAACTAGTCTATAGTTTTGTAGCCGGAAGAACTGCTCAGCGCCATAACAAAAGAGCAAGATTAGATGCTATAAGATGTGAAAGTGGTACGCAGTTTGTAGTATTATTCTATTATATTCTACTTTTTTTGTAGTTCAAAAAATAACATGTTTTAACAGAATCTTCTGCCCATAGAAATTCGATGGAGGTTGATGTTGAACGTAGGAAATATTTATTTAAATAAAAATAATAGAGCGTAATTATGTAACATATTCTAAATACAGCCATTTAAACATGTCAATCCAGAACCACGGAAGAAGAGTGTGGTCAGACCAACTTACTTGCTTGGGAAGGAACCCCAGTGTCTGACGATGAGAATGTTCCAGTTACGAATGAGGAGATTCACAACAGCAAAGACAATGGCGATGAAAACAAAGAAAACAATAATGAAGATGTTGTTAAGGTGGAGGTCGAGGAATTTGTTAATGAAGGTTGGTGTTGTGCTATGGAAGAAAGAAAAATTTGAAAAAAAGGGAGATGATTTTTTTTTTGGTTTTTTACAATAGATCCTTTTGCCCCCCCCGATATGCCTAAGAACCCAGTGCACAGGATCATTACTACTTTTGTGGTAATGTTAGCTCCCCGCTATGTGGCCAACAAAGGCGCTGTCATCCTGATAAAGTTCATCAATAAGCTCTAGACAACTTACGAGAAGAATTTACAATTGCCATCGAACATTTCTGGCCTCAAACACGAAACGGATTTTTCATCCATGAACAAAAGCGTTCATAAATATGTTTTGTGCCAGGATTGCCACAAGGTGTATGAGGAAAGTGCATTATGTTGGAATACAAACTCTTTTTGACGAGCATCCATGGGGGTCCAGGATTCGTGCAGTATCTCATTGCCCATTTTCAGTACTACCCAGAACAATACTGATACCTGGTATCGGCTGTAAAAAAAATTAGTAAATACAATTTTCAGTGAGAAAATTTTAAAAACCCCTCCTATGTCTTTAATCCTTAATAAAGAATAGAACCATGATAATTGACCTAAACTACGAAGAGAAAAATAATAAGCAAATACAAGCATCATTCAAAGAAAAATGGGCAACTAAACAATGTATACCTGTAACATATGAATAAGAGTTAGACAATGATCTTTGACACCAACTGTGAAATTATAAGTATTTATAACCATCAGTGAATAGATTCACAAAGAGACTTGTATACCTACGGCCCATGATGTAGAGCAGAGCCATAAATTTTGGACTTGGCGATTAAAAGACTAGACAAATAAAAGCGACAAGTATTAACTGCTTAAAGAGTCATGTATACATATAGCCCAAAATGGGCAGCGGAATATTGATCGTTCGCCCTGGTGGTAAATAGACTAAAAAAAGAAAGCCAACAATAAGTATATGTTCAAAAAGAAATATATACCTGTGATCATGAATAAATACTCAAAACTTGATCGTTGGCTTAAAATATATAAAAAAAAAAAAGCTAGACAAAATAATAGTTGATAGCTAAATACTAAACGAGACATGTGTATCTCATACCCTGGATGTATGGTGAAACCTTAATCGTTGGTTTTGACTATGTCAAGATAACTAAAAACAACAACCAGTAAGTAGATGCTCAATATATATATATATATATATATATACTGGAGAACTTGGACGGGCAACAGAGGCTTTATAGTTTGGCTTTGACTGTGTAAACACTAGAATAATCTAATTGATAGTAAGAAAATATTTAAAGAGCTTTGTATACCTGAGGATTTTTATGGAGAGTGAAACCTTGATCGCTGGTCTTTGCCGTAAAAAGTATGGGAATATACAGCTTAAAGTAACTAAAGGCTCAAAGAGACTTGTATGTCTATGACTGTAGGAAAATGTCGGAATATTAATCGTTGGTCTTTACTATGAAAACACTAGAAAAATACACCTAATAGTAAGTAAATTCTCGGAAATATATATATACCTATGGTTGGAGATGTAGGTCAAAACCGTGACTGTTGACATGAGCTGTGAAGATTCTGGACATATAAAACAGGCTGTAAGTAAATGGTGTAATAAAGATGTATGCCTGTAGCCCTGGATGGAAATCGGACGCCTAATCGTTGGTATGAACTGTGAAATTACTAGAAAAATTAAAACTGATAGTAAGAACATATTCCAATAAAAAAAACCTTGTATGTCTATAAGCCTTGATGGAGACTAGAGCCGTGAGGGCTAGCATAGAATGTAAAAAAGAAAAAGAAAAAAAAAAGATTAAATAGATAGAATCAGTAGTAAAGTAATATTTAAATACACTTATATATCTAAGACGTTGAATTAATAGCAGGATCTTGATCGTTGACCAGGACTCTAAAAACGCTTGATAAATGTCATTGGCTGTAAAAAAGTAATCTAAGAATCTTATATACCTTTACCCAATAATGTTGAGTGGAAACTTGATAATGACCAAAGACTTGATCAATGGACTTGAATGTGCAAATGCCAGAGAAATTCAGTCGATATTAAAAAAAATCAAAGATACATGGATATCTTCAACCCTTCCCGGAAAGCTGAAGCTTGATCGTTGGACTCGGATTTAAAACACTAATCAAATGTAATCGATAATAAATAAATGTTCAAAATAAACGGTGATACCTGTGGCTCATGGTTGAGAGTAGGAAATTTATCCCTTGACCTATATATTAAAAGCAATAGGCAATATCAGCCGGCAGTCCTAAAAGGGCAATTATACTTGAATGTCTGTGAACCTGGGTGGAGACTAAACTCTTGAACCTTGGTGTGGACTATGGTATGACTAGATAAATATGATGGATGACAGAAAGATATTCAAAGGAGGGTGTACGCCTGTTACCTCGGCGAATAGCAGAAACTTGATCATCAGCGTTGACTGTAAAATTATTAGACAATTTCAACAAGCAATGATTAACTATTAAAAAAAAAGCATATATACCTTTTACCCTAGATGAGCAGCGGAATCCCAATTAGTAGCCTTGACTATGAAAAGACTAGACAAATATAGCAGACACCAAGCAAATGCTCAAAGAGGTATATATACCAGTAACCCTGCATGAACTATGGAATCTTGGGTGTTGGCCTCAATTGTGAAAAGACTACCGAACTAAAGCTGGTAATAGGTAAATACCCAAAGATACTGGTATACCTAACATCCAAGAAGGAGAGTGGCATCTTGATTGTTGGCCTTTTCTGTGAGTAGACTAAAGAAACACAATTGGCAGTAAGTAAATACTAAAAAGTGGCAGTATATCAGTGATTTTTGACGGGGATTTGAACCTTGACTGTTGAATTGAACTGTAAAAAGACTGCTTCAAACAGCTATCAATATGTTAATGGGTAAAGAAAGCCACTTGTATCCCTGTAAATCTATGCGGAAATCGGGCTCTTGATCTTTGGTCTCGACTGTATAAAGTCTGAATAAAGCAACTAGTAGTAAGTAAATGCTTAAAAAGGCATGTATACCTTAACCCTATTTTTTGAAGTGCAACCTTGATTCTCGGCATGGACTGTCAAAGATTAAAAAGATTCAACCAGTGAAGAATAAATGCTAAAATGTGCGTGTGTACCTAGAACCTTGAATGGATAGAAAGAACATGATCATTTCGCCTTGACTATGTAAACGCTAGGAAAATCTAATTTTTAGTAAATTGCTTAAAGATTCTTGTATACCTGCGACCTTTGATGTAGAGCTGAGCATTGAACGCTTGCTACGGAGAAGAAAGGGTTAGAACAAAACAACTGATAGTACCTAAAAAGTCAAAGAGACTTTTATACCTGTGAGCCCAAAAGAATATCAAAGCTTTGATCGTTGGCTTCGGCTGTAAAAACATTATGCAAATATATAGTAAGTAGATTTTTCGGCAGATTTGTATACCTGTCCCCCCCGGATAAACAACTCATATTAATTGTGGGCCTTTCCTGTAAAAAGACTAGAAAATATAATAGCTAGTAAGTAAAGGTTCACATAGTCATGTATACCTTTAATCCTTAATGGAGATTAAAAACCCGATTGCTGGCTTAAACTATAAAAAAGCTAGACAGAATAATAAGTGATACGTGAGTACTAAATGAGACCTGTATACCTCGGGCACTAGGTAGATAGTAAAACTTTGGTAATTCAGTTTGACTAAATAAAAATTACTCGAAACAACAAGCAGTAAGTAAACGATCAGGTATGTACATATACTTGTTACCCTAGAGGACAGTAAACCTGGATCGATTGGCCTTGGCTGTGTAAAATTAAAAAATAATAATTAATTAATTAATAAATAGTAAAATAATACTTAAAAATATTTTTTAAACCTATGGCCTTAGATGGAGAGTAGATGCTTATTATTTAGCATAGACATTAATGAAATTAGAAAAATCAAACAAGCGTTATGCAAAGGCTAAAAGAGAATTGTATACCTGTAACCGTGGATGAAGAAGAAATCCTTGTTCTTCGACCTGGGCGGTGAAAACACTAGACAAAAAAAAACAAGCGATAAGTAGAAACCCAAAGAAAAGTGTATACCTGTCATACTGGATGGAGATCGAATCCTTGATGGTTGCCCTTGACAGTAAAAACAATAGACGGATAAAAAAAGCCAATAATCAACGGCCCAACGAAAAATATATATCTGCAAGTCTGGATGAATATCAAGTCCTAGTTCTTCGGCCTAAACCGTATAGGCACTAGACATATAAAACTAAAAGTTAGTAAAGACGCAAACATATTTGTATACCTGTCACTCTGGATAGGGCTCGGATTCGGAATCATTGGCATAGACAGTAAAGGCACTTGACAAAAAAAAAGACACATTAAATAAAAGCACTTGTCAGATTTGTATACCTGTAAAACTTGATGGAAACCGGATCCTTGAGTGTTGAATTTGACTGTAAAGTCACGAGAAAAAATACAGTTTGCAGCAAGTCAAAAATCAAAGAGATGTGTAACACTATATCCCAATATGGAGACCGGGTTCTTGCTCGTTACCCTTGACTGCAAGGACACTAGAGAAACAAAAACAATTATAAGTAACGGCCCAATAACATTTTTATATCTGTAATTCTCGGCGGATACCAGATGATTGGTCGTTGGCCTTGACTTTAAGGACAATAGAAAATTAAAACCGACAGTAAGTAAAATCCCAAAGAGAAGTGTATACCTGTAACACTGGACGGATATAGGATCCATGATGGCTGGCTTGGACTGTGAAGCCAGTAGAGAAATAAAGCCAACAGTAACTAAAGGCCGAACTAGATGTATATACCTGTCGCACTGGAAGGAAAACAAATTTTTCATTGTGTAGCCGGATCGTAAACACACTAGGCCAATACGAAAGAAAGCATGTAAAGACAGAGAGAAAAGTGTGTACCCCTAACCTTGATTTGAAATCAGATCTTTGATATTTAAACTTTAAGGAAAAAAAAACACTAGAAATATATAAATGACAGTAAGTAAAAGCTCAAGAAGACTTGTTTACCTGTAGCCCAAATTTGAGTTTTGATCCTTGCTGTTTGGCCTGGAGAGTAAAAACAATAGTCATATATACTTCTAGGCTAGTAATGGCCAAGAACGACTTGTATACCTTCCATAATGGATGTATATTTGATCATCGTTCTTTGCCATCAAAAGAAAGTATAAATAAAGAGTACAGTTTGTTTTAAGTAAAGGTTTAAAGGAAACTTGGTTAGCTATAACAATTCATGAAAATCGGATCCCGATAATTGCCGTGGATGAGTAGACACTAGAAATATATAAAATCCAATGAGTAATTGCTCATCGAGTTTTTGTATACCTATAGCCACGGACTGAATCCGGATCCGTGAAGCATGATCTTGGTGGATTCAACACTAGAAATAAATAAAGCCGAGTGTGATTGCTCATCGATTTTTGTTATATCTATAACCATATAACGGGAGATCAGCACCTTGAAGCTCGACCTGGATGGCCGGAGACTAGAACTAGATTAAAATAATGAGTATATGCCCATAATGCTTTTTATACCTATACCCATGGCGGGGAGATCGGAATCTTGATGCTTGACCTGGATAGCTGGAGACTGGAGATATATTAAATCTAGTGAGTATATGCCCATAATGTTTTTTTATACCTATAACCATGGCGGGGAGACCAGAACCTTGATGCTTGACCTGGACGACTGAACACAAGAAGTATATTACAGCTAGTGAGTATATGCCCATAATGTTGTTTTATACTTATGACCATGGAGGGGTGATCAGGTCCTTGACGCTTGATCTGAATGGCTGGAGGCTAGAAATAAATATCAAAACTAGTGAGTAAATGACAATAACGATTTGTTATACCTATAACCATGGACGGGTGATCGGAACCTTGATGCTTGACATGAATGACTGAACACTAGAAATATATTAAAGCTAGTGAGTATATGCCCATAATGTTTTTTTTATACCTATAACCATGGCGGGGAGATCGGAATCTTGATGCTTGATCTGGATAGCTGGAGACTGGAGATATATTAAATCTAGTGAGTATATGCCCATAATGTTTTTTTATACTTATAACCATTGACGGGCGATCGGAACCATGATGCTTGACCTGGATAGCTGAAAACTAGAAATATATTAAATCTAGTGAATATATGCCCATACCATTTTGTTATACCTATCACCATGCACGGGCGATCAGAATCTTGATGCTTGATTTGGATGGCTGGAGACTAGAACTAGATTAAAAAAATGAGTATATGCACATAATGCTTTTTGTACTTATAACCATGGGCGGGCGATAGGGTCCTTGATGCTTGACCTGGATAACTGAACACTAGAAAAATATTAAAGCTAGTGAGTATAGGCCCATAATGTTTTTATACCTATAATCTTTGACGGGCGATCAGAATCTTGATGCTTGACCTGGATGGCTGGAGACTAGAACTAGATTAAAAAAATGAGTATATGCACATAATGCTTTTTGTACTTATAACCATGGGCGGGCGATAGGGTCCTTGATGCTTGACCTGGATAACTGAACACTAGAAAAATATTAAAGCTAGTGAATATATGCCCATAACATTTTGTTATACCTACCACCATGGACGGGCGAGTAGAACCTTGATGCTTGACCTGGATGGCTGGAGACTTAAATAAATATAAAAACTAATAAGTATTTGCCCATAATGTTTTTATACCTATAACCATGGACGGGCAATCGGGTCCTTGACGCTTGACACGGATGGCTGGAGTCTTAAATAAATATAAAAACTAATGAGTATACGCTCATAATGTTTTTATACCTATAACCATGGACGGGCAATCGGGTCCTTGTCGCTTGACACGGATGGCTGGAGTTCACAAATAAATATAAAAACTAGTCAATATATGCCCATAATGTTTTTTATACCTTTAACCATGGGCGGGCAATCGGAACCTTGACACTTGACCTAGATGGCTGAACACTAGTAATAGATAAAAGCATGCGAGTAAATGCGCATAATGTTTTGTTATACCTGTAAACATGGTTGGGAGATCGGAACCTGGACGCTTGACATGGATGGCTAAACACTAGAAATATATTAAAACTAGTGAGTATATTCCCATAACGTTTTGTTATACCTATAACCATGGACGGGAGATCAGAATCCTGTTGATTGACCTGGATGACGGAACACTAAAAACATAATAAAACCATTGAGTATATTTCCATAATGTTTTGTTATACCTAGAACCATGGCTGGAAGATCGCAACCTTGACGCCTGACGTCGATGGCTGAACACTATAAATATATTATAACTAGTGAGTATATTCCCACAACGATTTGTTATACCTATAATCATGGACGGGAGATCAGAATCCTGTTGATTGACCTGGATGACGGAACACTAAAAACATATTAAGACCAGTGAGTATATTTCCATAATGTTTTGTTATACCTATAACCTTGGCTGGAAGATCGCAACCTTGACGCCTGACATCGATGGCTGAACACTATAAATATATTATAACTAGTGAGTATATTCCCACAACGATTTGTTATACCTATACCCATTGCCGGGAAATCGGGTCCTTGACACTTGACCTGGATGGCTGACACTAGTAATAGATAAAAGCTAGTGAGTAAATGCGCATATGGTTTTGTTATACCTATGACCATAGCTGGGAGATCGGAACATTGATGCTTTTCCTGGATGGAATGGATACTACAAATATACAAAAACAAGTGAGTAACTGCTCATAGAGTTTTGATATACTTGATAACCGTGGACCTTGACCTGAACCTTGAAGCTTGACCTGGATGGAATGGATACTACAAATATACAAAAACAAGTGAGTAACTGCTCATAGAGTTTTGATATACCTGATAACCGTGGGCTCTGATTGGATCCTTGATGCTTGACCTGGACGGAAGGCACTAGAAGCATACAAAAGACAATGAGCATATGCTCCTCGAGTCTTGGTGTACCTGTGGCCCTGGATGGAAACCTGTTCTTGATTGCTTGACTTTGCCTGAAAAGTCCCTACAGAAATATCAAAGACAGTGAATGATTAATCAACGAGCCTTTATATACCTGTAGGCCTGGATGGAGATCTTATTTTTTATCGTTGACCTTGTTTGTCAAAAGACTAGACAAATATAATCTTCACAATGTGTGTCTTTGATGAATATCATATACTCCTTGAATTATAGTAAGTCCTGTCAGTTTATCTCTTGTTTCTGAGCGTGAATAGGCTTTGGATGGATTGATGGTCAAACCAGTGTTGGACCTCAGTATTTCATTTTTGCTGTGTACTGGTTTTGACATGTTGTCTTATATCTTGCTACTGACTGTTTTACATATGATAAAAGTCTGAGATTTGACTAGCAAAATGGATTTGTATTGGTCATGATTCGTCTTTAACGTCTATGTTGATTAAAGTAGTTTGTGAGAGAGCAGTAAAGAAGTGTATAAAGTATTAATGGTATGTGGAAGAGAGTTGTTTTGACGCGTTCTGTTTGGATAGGTGTTTTTTTTATAAAACTCATGACGTCTCAATCATGAGTTGCTGTTCTTTTTTATTATTTTTATTATGATAGTTTGATAATATATTATAAAATTCGGGTTTTTTCTTATTCCTTTTTCGGTTTTCTTTTATCTTTTAGCCTTGACAACATGTATATATTATTACTATTTTACTTCTTTATTTAATATTTATGCTTAAAATATTGGTTTTGGGTGTTAAAGAAGTATCACTTACATTCTGAAGGACGTGCTGTGCAGGCACTCGTTTTACTTTTTGTTTTTTTCTTTTGCCTCTTTTTTTTTTTGGTTCGTTTTATGTCACATAAGGTCCGTGCTGTCCGTGCAACATCACATGTGTCATGGGGCTTAGAGGAGCATAGTAGCAATAGTGGTCCAGACTTTACTTTAGCATGAAAACATTTAAATGATGTCTTCCGATTGGTGGACTATATGCATGTCAAATTATTCAGTTGCTATGGACCCCCATCCCCTTTTTTTATTCTACTTTCTGTTGTGATTCTGTTAACAAGGCTTATGCTTTTGAACAGCCACTTGTCGAGACACTATATATGCCTCTGTGTTCATTTTAGCTGTACTACTGATATACAAAGTATTAATCGGCTAGACGTTTAACTACAATAAAGAAGTGTAAATTTGTGTTGATTATAAAGCTTTAATTAAAGTCTTGTGTATATTTATTTGTTTGTTTTCTTGTTTGTTTGTTTCACATGCTGTGACTTTATTAGTTTAAGAAGCACCCCCGAAAAAAATTGCTGCTTATATCTTTTCTTTTCTTTCGTGTGAAAGACTTCCATTTTTCTTCTAGCTTTTTCACCAGTGTCTTGAGTTAATAAACACAAAGTGTAGGAATACTTTCTTGAAATAAAAGTACTTTCAGTGCTTCAGTATGAAGGGATTGACAGCCTGACTATTGAAAGTCGTTGGTACCTCAAGTTAAAGCATCGTTCTTAGAGTAAAATAAAAGTAAAAAGAAGAACAGGGTCTAGCCTAGTGTTTGTCAATCGACCTTGGTTTGTACTACTTTATAAACCAATCATAATCCAACTGAGAAATTAATACAGCATAACCCAACTGCCTGAAACACTTTACATTTATATGTGTTCAAATATACACCATTCTATCGATAATTATAATTATTTATATAAGTTACATTATACACCATGAAAAAGTAGTGGTGCTTGCAATTGTGCTAGCCTGGTCACAGATAGATCAAGCTAGTAAAATGGCTATTACATATATATATAAATCACCTTTTAAAGGCTCTGCTTATTTACTATTTTTTTCTGTTATTGCTCAGACTGACTGACGGCACAATATGAAAGCAAAGAGACAATCTACTGCTACTGAACGTATAGGTTTTGTTTGGTTGGGAGCAAGACGCTATCGATTACTAATTATCGATTTATAGGATCTAGTGCTTTTGATATTTTGCGCTTGTATACCAAACTCAACTGGATGAACAAATAAACTAAAGATGCGGCTATAATGACACCACAAAAGCGGCTCACTTTTACATATATTTTTTAAATTGAATTACTTGTCCAAGAAATAGTCATTTGGGTGTATGCCAACTAGTTTTTGTGGGTTAGGTATTTAATATATATCTTGCGTTCCTTTTATTTAGTGCTTAATACATAAACGTCTTTTGGTTTCAACAACGGCCTTTATCTGCATCTTAATATAGCAAATGTGCGTGCTATTATTCAGTACGTCAAACCAAGTGCGGGGGCATGTTACTATATAGGCGTAAGTATTCAAGCATTATGGTGTATTTGAAAATATTTGAACAACTATTACTGCAAAAATTTATTCTGTGAGCTTAAACAATAATATAACGTATATTTTTTATATTTATTTAGATATATCAGAATATTTTTCTAGTCGGATTATTTGATTCTATAAACTTATTAATTTCATCTACCTTGGCCTGGACACTTCTTATATTAAGAGTTATTGTTACTATTGTTGTTATTCAAGATATCCTCTATAGCCCTTGCCTACAATGTAGATATCATAAGCGTAATTTTACTATATCTATTTGTAAGTATATATTTTTTGTGTAGCACTTTTGTCTGTCTTTTATAATTATCAATATTGTGTGTTAAAAAAAAAGGATAAATATTTTGATGTAAAGTCTCTGTCCTATTTGCGATCGCAAAAATCTCCTTTTTATAACATCAAAGTCCTTGTGCTTTTTTTTGTGTTCTTGTTTTGTAGACCATACACAATAAACAGCATTCCTAAATTCAATACGTTGCAATTCAGAATTTAAAAGTTGCTGGTTTCTTTTATGGTCTATAACAAACAAGCAATGAAACAGGCGCAAGACTTACGAATAACTTTTATTTTCTGTTTCCCTAGATATCTACGTAATTGCCTCTTCAGATTTCGACAATGAACCCGATCCGGCACGACAGTACAATGTATACTTGAATGGGAAAAAATTGATATGTTTGGCTGCTACGATATATGGCTCTGCCAACCCGTTGAGGTAGAAGAAACTGAACAGCATGAATTGCGGCATGTTTTGCTTTATTTAAGGCCTCATTTTCAGCAACCAGCGAATCACCGCAGAATACCTAAATGCTTGCGGGTACGTGGTTGTGATTTTACACTCACGAAAATAAGACTGTCCACAACCATCTCAACTGGCTTAAAACTATTTTTGTAATAGGCGCTATTCAGTATGTTCTCTTGATTGAATCCAAAATAATAAAGAAAAAAAAACTTAACTTTGAGCAAAATAACTGTCAAGGAGTGTGGTTTACATACTATCTGGTTAGTATATTGGGCTTGTGTTATATGTAGACAATACTTTCTTCTCAGAATGATAACAGCCAAGTGACTTGTGAGTATACACCGTTTCTAAGAGCAAACCATTTAGTTTTGGCCTTTTTGTTTTTTGTTTTAATGTCTTTCTCTCTCTCTCTTCTCAGTTCTTTAATATAATATTAGCAAAGCTCTCTGTCTCTATCAATCTCGGGTATACAAATCCAACTGTCTAGTGCTTTGTGTGGTCTGGATTTATTCCTCTAATATGGTCTGTCGATGATTACTCGAGTTGTCTAACAGTAGCTTTTATCGGAATGGTTACAGTATTACAAAGTGTTACCGTAGGGTATTTTGAATCCAGAGTAAAGTTGTCTATTGTCCATGATATTATGAAGTCATTCACAATTGTAAATTTTTGCAAAAATTATATTATTGTTTCAAAAATTAATTAACGAATTTGCTTTATCTTCAATCAAGCAAAGTTTTTATAAGAAGGTGATTGTTCATAAATATATCTATTGATATTTCTGGGAAAAAAGGCAAACTAGTCTTGCAAGATGCACTTCCTGAAACTTGTGTTGGAAAATTGACACAATATGTGGTGAGTTGACATCAACTAACATGCCTAAACCAGCTTACTTTGGCAACCTTGTTTCCTTTTCCTGTAACATATATATATATATATATACCTACATTGGTCTACATTGTGAAAATCCATTGAACCTTATTATCAAGGTCAATCACATCAAGTTAAAAAAAGGGGGGCTTTGTCGTTTATTATCCGTTGCCCTATGCACCTTTCATTGAAATTGGAGATTTATATAAATGTACCCAAACACTCTTTCGGCTTTTGCTGGTATAATGTTGCTTTCTCATCTCAAGCTTAAATAGTGTTGTGGACAAGGAGAATATTTTTATTATAAGTTTTTCTAAATCTTGCGCACTGTGGAATTTACGCAAACCAATGAGACCTTAAAAGTAAATGAAATGAAGTAAAACAAAAACAAAACAAAAAGGTGCTTGTCAATACATGCATGACAAGAGAGTAGGCACCGAAAAGTAAGAGAGCGCGGAAATCTTGATCTTTTTAATCCAGTTGGGAATGTGGAAAGACCACACCAACTTGTACATTTACCCCTGGACCCCACAAATTAAGCATGAATTCCTCTCGCAAGCCAATTTATGTTAACTTGATGGTGGCTATTCAGTTTAATTTTTTACTGCTGCTGCTGCTGTTGCTGCTGTACTTTACTAGGACAGTACCTATACGACTAAGATTATTAATGAATTAAGAAGATCTTGTTTGGACATTTAATAAGCACGATTTATATATATAACAATGATTTAGGAATTATTATTATTTTTTGAAAAAAAAAAAATTAAAGTAAAATAAAATAAATGCTCTATAATCTATAGAGAAAAAAATGTAAGAATGGGAAATGTACAAAGTATCTTTTTTCTTTTTGTTTTTTGTTTTCTTTTTGCAGTGAAGGGATAATATAGGATGGTGGTAATACAATAAAGATAAAGCAGTTAGGAAGTGTGTGTATGTGTATGTGTGTATGTATGTGTATATGTATGTGTTTTCTTCTTTAAAAAGAAAAGAAAAGAAAGGAAAGGAAATGAAGATATAGAAGAGGTTTAAAGCGCATTCTGATGCTGGTTAGCAAAAAATGTCTTTCCGATCTCGTAGCTACTGATCATAATCGCACATGACGGTGCGACTTTTGCAACTCTAGGTGTAAGTCCTAGAAAGCCCAAGACATAATAGTATCAGGTAAAGAAGTATACGTATACTATTTAATTTGACTCTTACCTCTAAATAGCCCTCGGACGCCATCTTGGCTATATATTTGTCTCAATATGGCTGGCACCTTGACTGCTTTCATGGATGGAGAATCTAAAACAAAGTTTAGCTCAGTGCACCAAATCACATACACAATACGTGTCCTTATTACCTTTTCCGGCATCAACCTGACGGCGTGTCTTTGCCACATCAAAGGGGGTTGTGACAGCAGCCGCGCACTTTCGGATAGTACAATCAATGTCAGCAATCATATATTGTGTGTGTATGTATATATATACATAAAAGAATAATAATTACCATGCCAGAAAATGCACCGGCAAGGAAGGACATGTACAGGTCACCTTGGACTATTGAGATGGATATGTTGTTGTTGTTGTTGTTGTTGTTGTTGTTGTAGGCTATTAAGGCCTGTTTTGTTTTTTCATATGTCATCCAATACATGGCCGAAAAGGGGACATCTCTCCAGAGAGTTGGAGGAAGACCTCGCCAAAGTGCCCGAACGCCATCTTTTTTCACCATGCTCTGTACACCATACAGCACATTTCTAAAATCATTTACTCCTGTGGCAGCCTGGAGTCGAGTCCTGAACAACTCAATTGGAGAGATCAAGGCAACTGCGACCGTACGTGCAAGTCCACCTGCAACAAGAGGAGAGTAGTCGCTATGCTGAGTGGTAGTATATGGCTGGATGATTACTTTGAGATAGTCGTACCCGACAAAGTAAATAACATTTGCAGGTACAGACATCAGCAACGCAGGTGACAGACCCTTCCATAATCCTGGCAGCCCCTCATTCTTTACAATAGTGTGAAAACCATCCTACAGATTTAAAGATAGTTGTCATTTTTAATATTATTTTTTATTATTATTAGAATTAGAATTCCCGCGGTTTATATATATTTACCAGTGTACCCTTTAGAATAGGGGGGTTTTTGGGTGTAAATGAGCGATTGGGCAACTCGATCGCACATTCATGAAGACTGGCCACCTGGTTGGTACCTTTTTTCGAGAATATCTTTGAGTAGTGTTGAATTCCAGAGGTCAATTTGCAGATTTTGAGGCCATTTTTTGATGAGAATGGGCTGCAGCATGCAGTAGGCTTCCGCGATGAGTCATAATTTTGAGTCTGGAGCCGAAGTTTCACGACGTCCATTGGAGTTACTAGGAGTGATGTCAAAAGAGCTCCAGTGCATGCTGAAAGAAGTTTCTCGGTAGAGCTTGTAGTGTAGAGTGTATTGTCTTGCGATGTCATACTTTTTTTTCTTCTTCTAATCAACTATATGTAATATTTATATATACATATATATATATATATATAAAGGGATAAATGTATTTTATATTATTTTAATACCAAAAGAGAGATTGGGGATTTTTTTTTTTGAGTTCAAGATATAAAAATAAAATAAAAAAAAATAAGATCGGGAAAAGTATCATCCTTTTATTTTATTTTATTTTTAACTGTTTTTGTTTGTATGGAGTCTTTTCCTTGGAAAAATCTCAATAAAAGAAAAATATTGCGATTTGGCTTGAAATGTATGATTTGTGTGTTTGGTATTGACTCAAAAAAAAAGGGCAGTTTCACTATTGCATTGTTGGTTTTTTGAGCTTAATGTTTTTTTTTTAGTCTATTTTCAATTATTGGCTGTGATCCTTACATATAATTTAGTGTTTTAGACACATAAATACATACGAGTGTAACAGCCATTGACAGTCAATGGTACAAGAAAACGATCAACATTCATAATAAACACGCCCACGTTAAACATGACTTTGTGTGATGCAATATCTTAAAGCAATGATTAGATGATATTTTATTTGTATGACGTGCTTTGGTTAAACTTTTATAGTGTGTTCTAAAGAGCAAAATAGATAGACAATCAAGTGATTATTTAGATTTCTTATATTTCTATATTTCAGGGATGATATTTGGAAAAAGTCAAGAAGAAAGAAAATATTTTACTTCATTTCTTTTACCGAGGTTCCGCATTATTATTGTTCTTTTTGACATTTATACAAACAAACACCCGCCCCATTGCCTTACTACCCAGCATATATGTATTTAATGATTGAATAGTGACTCTCTCACCAAGTATCAAAGCCATCAGTATCTTATTTCATGTAAGCTTGGAATAGCATTCAAACAATAGTACAATATAGCAACTGTTGCATTATATGCATTTCTTTTAAAAAGTATAAAACTAAGTGCTGCCTAGGGTTTCTGTCTTCAGCTCTAGAAAGCCGGTGAGGTTGACTGGAGCTTCCCGGAATTCCGATGGCTTACGGCTGTGTATTGATTATGATAAACCAGATCAATACAAATAGTCTTGTTATTCATCTCGCAGCTAGTCGTAACCACCAAGAACCTTCCGTCCCTTGTTTCTTCTACAACTATATCCCGGGGAGTCACAAATATATCAAATCCACTACTGCTGACAATCTGGATCGTAGTCTTTTTATTCTGGCTGGAAAGAATAGCCATCTCATCCAATGCATCGTGTCTGGCCACATAGATTAGGTGGTATGTTCCTGTCTTCGGCTCATATTCTTCTTCTAAGAGTCTGCCCTTTACATGAATTGCAAAAGGTTGAAATCTCCATGACCTCGTATAGTCAGCGATCCTCGAAATATATTCTAGGGCTTCCATCTCCAGCACTCTTCTCGTCTCAAGCGATAGTTTGGATTCATACACGATCTTGCTCACAAAGGTTACTTTGATTCCGGTTTGAGGAGCACACCATTGGTTTGATTTAGAGCCCAATTCCTGGAATATGGGTCTGAAAACCCATCCATGCAAGATCACCTTGGAGCGAAGATAACAAGCTGCTCTCTCTTGTATCTTGTTGTCCACGACGCTTGTGCTAGCCACAAAAACCGTTCCGGTAGAAGTATTTGTAGAAACACCAGTAACAACACAAGCATCATGCCGTTGGATAGGATAAAGGCTTTTAAGTACCCAATGCTCCAGAGCATCAGATTCACTGAACCGTTCAATAACTCGTCCTGCTTCAAATCTTTCGTCCCCTACAGATTATGTTTAGAGAAATGAGTCTCATACCCCAATATGCTTATTGTCTATCTCTCTTCTTTAGTATAATCAAATATTATTTTTTTGTATTCAAATTACATTGACTTCGAGACACAAAGCATCGTACCACATTGCAAAGTTGTGCCGCTGTCCAGGAACCATTTATAACGCCGTCGCACCGTATCATTTGAAGCCCTTTAAGATTATTTGTGTCATGAAAGTAAACTCTCGATGTAACCCCTTGTTTTTCGCTGTGAATCACCCATCCGTCCATCGATGATGTCAACTCGGCTAGGGACTTTAAAGCTTTGTTCTTCTTTTCCGCGTGTCGATTTGGTGGATAGATACATGTGATGGAGGCACTGGCCTCAAATTTCTCTTCAGAAGAATCAGTAGTTCGTTTATCGTGGTCACTGCCACTTTTACTAGCGTACGAATTTGCACTTTCTTCATCTCTTGACGGTTCAGAATCGCTATACGATAGGATGGGGCCCGATAATTGATTTTTCTGCGCTCTTGAATTTGTTGGAGTATCGGCTGCAGAAAATTTGTCTGTTTTAGTAGACGATCCTGATTTATCCTCTCTTTATATATATATATATATTGATTGGGTCAAGATATTTTGTTAGTCTTTTTAAAAAAAAGAACTTTAAACAAGAATAATGTGTGTGCATCATGTATTACCTATAGGCTTCTAGAGTGTAATGTCCCTTGTCTGCAGCAAGTGTTTCCATTTGTGTGGCCGCAGGAGGACGACTTACAGTTAATTGCGGTCCATTAACGGCAGAGAGACAAGTTTTTAGCTGTTTTGAATTCCTTTCAAAGTAACTCTCCACATCACAAAGATCCTTTACGCGCTTTCTCAAACTCCAATTGGAAAGGCTTGATGCCAATCCCTTGAAGTTACCGTTGGTGACATAAGTAACTTCAGTACTTGGTTTGGTTCGACTCAATCCTGTGCGCTCTATTATCCATCCTCGAAGCTTTTCATTATTGATATTAGTAGAAAATAAAGGGTTAATTATATGATAGCATAATTGAATATTATAAACACAGTTTTTTGTGTCTTTGCGTTCCTTTATATATTTATTTATTTTATCATGCTCTTAACAAGAGAAATGCAGATGTCAAATTGACTAATCTTACACTTGTGTGCTTCCTATGCCTTTCTTGGAAACTAGGTACATATTGTGATTGTACACTGACGGTTACAAATAAAACCATATTTTCGCCAACGTATTCTGTGCGTTCGACCTGGACTGTATCACTTAATCTAAATTAGTTAACATGTAAGATTCTTGCTATTAAACTTTCTCTCTCTCTCTCTCTCTCACATACACATGGGGTTTTGATAAAATATTGTAGCGTGGATTTTTTATTTATTTATTTATTACTTTCCTTGTAGAAAAGGTGCTTTTATACACCTCATAAGTCAAAGAGGTAGTTTGGTTGATCTTCTCAACCAAATTTCCCTCAACAAATCTAAGTAAAATCAGTAAAAATAAGATTAGATATGTTTATGCATGTATACGCCTATTGAGATGTATTGCTTATCTTACTTGCTATCCCATAGTCTCCTTGTCGTGACAATACGAAAGATAGCATGATGCGAGAAGTTTTGTATAATTTTCTGCCCTTTCACCATCACAACTTTGTCGCCAGGATGTGCATACTTGCTGTAGGCCTCAACTGGATGCCCACTTTGAGGCAATTTATTCCATCCTCGATGACTTTTAGCTTCCTTGAGAATATTTAGTGCCGCTTCGGCTTGCCAGATAATGTATTCTTTATCCTTGGATGATACTTGTATAATATCCACACCATGCGAATAGTCCGGAGTCAATAATGGTAAAGGAGATGACACAGCGGCTACAAGAGTATGCGATACATTCTATTACAGTTTCAATCAATATATTTATGCCTTAAGAAAGAAGAAGATGTGTACTTACAAAAGATACACTTTTATTTCTATTGGCTTTCTTATCTCCATCTGCAGTCTGTTGGGTTCTGCCTTTTGGTGTATTTAATTGATTAGACTCTGATAATATTTCACTGCTACTCATCAAGCCAAGCTTTCAAATATATTTGTTTGAGCTTTTGAAGTTGTGTGTATTGGATGGTATAGAAGAAACGCTATTGTTGTTTTGTTTATTTTTTTTTTAAAAAAAAAAAGTCAAGTCAAGTCAATCAATCATATTTATTACTAATCTTATTGCTTTTTACTTGTAAATTTTGTTTTAACCAATCAAAGCAAAAATTATGGACGCTCTCTTTATCTTAATCTACAGATAAGAGAACAATTACCCAATTATTCTTATATTTAATCATTTCCCATAGTGGAATTTAGCTTTACTTATTTATAAATCTATTGGTACTTCAATACTCTATCGGCAATTCTACGGGGTCTACGTTTCTATTTAACCAAATTATGCCCTAAGTTCGGTGCCTTCAATCCTTTAGGAAAAAATATCGTGTTCTGAAATTTATACAATATATTCAATTTATAACCCTAAATTTAGACTTGATCATATAAAATACACTATACCAATAGCCAGTTATGCAGAAGATTATAAGAAATTGTCATTAAAGTGTGGCGCAATCTTGCTTGAAATTTTACTATTTATTAATCTTCTTATGCGCATCACACTCCAAAACACTGTCAATTTGAGAATTTAATGCAGTTTTATTAGTTTTGTTACATTTTCAAGAAAATAATTAAAAATGATATTTTATTTTTGTTTGTAATTTCTAATCCGCTTTTTTTTTATTTTAGCTGTAAAAATTACACCAACATCACTTTCCCCTCTGTATTGTACATGTCTTAAACATCCTTGTAAATTACACTCAAAAAGTATTTATATTAAAGGTATCATATTCTTAAATAAAGTAAAATAAACTACATTTTTTCTTTTTATTTTTATATAATAAATGTAAACGGAAGAGTGATTCTTTGCATAAAGTATTTGGAGTGATATTATTTCGAGTCTGTTCCAAGAGGTTGCGTGATTTTATATTTGCTGCAGTGGTATTTTTGCATGATTCTTTTCTTTAATGTAAAGGAGAGAAAAGGAGATTTTTTTTTAACTTGCATATTGTGAGATTTGAATATTTCTATTTCTGTGATTTTATTTAAATAAAAAATTCTTGAAATCCCAAATTTTTTATATCTTTTTTAATAAGAAAAAAAAAGAGAGCATATTTTTAATATTTTGTGCAATATATGCCTTGCCTAGCTACTTGAAAATATATAAAATCTTCTGGAATAAAGTAAAAAGTAAATATCTTAAAGTACTTGTTATAATTAGCAGTAAAGTATATCACTCTGTAAATGCAGTTTGTTTATTTTTGTACATGATTTTTATTTAAACTCAAAGTTTCGCATCTTCTCAGAAAACACAATGAATCTTTAATGCTTACAGCAAACTTGATAAGAAAAAAAACATATCAACTATTACTATAATAATATACATCCTGATATCAAATAATTACTGGTCGTACTTCATATTTGGTTATTCAGACACTTGGCTGTTGGATTTATCACATATAAAAACGTATTCATTTTTTTGTATGGAGCCAGGAAGAAAAAGCTCAGGATTTTATTAAAGGTCTCTGATTGAATAGGAGAAGAGAAAATTAAAATATTGGTTTGTAAGGTTTTGTAAGTTATATGATGTTTTTGTTTTTGTTTTGTTTTTGTTTTAAAAAAAATGGAGGAGTTAAAGAGAGTCAGCTCTAGTTCAGAGCAGAGACGAGGAATTGACTTGCGCGCAGTGTGGAGCACCGCAGAGGGAAGGAAAGGGACAGAGTTAAAGTGGAAAGACCAGTGGTGATCCCAAATAGACAGGATAGTTAGGCCAAAGACAGAGGAAGCAGGGATCGCAGGGTTAAGCGTGGGGGGAAGACGAAGGATTGGAAAGCGTTTGAGAGGGCAGAGGGCAGAGGGACGGTGCCAAAGAATTCCAACCAAATGCCTGTCCACACAGCAGATTTCAACGGGCAAGCGAGAAGAAAATGTTCTTGCGTCTCGATGGACACCTGGCAAATAGTGCAGAGAGGAGAAGAGACGGTGGATGGCATGATGCGGTACAGAAGTGCTCGGCACGAAAGCTTATTGTGCAACCCGCGAAACCAGACATTCTGAGCCTGGTGAGGGAGGGCGAAAGACCAGAAGGAGCGAAGTTGTCGTGGGATGAGAGGAGGGTGGATGGGACGAGCATCAGACAGTTGATGGGAGCAGGCAGAACGGTAGGAGCGCGTGGTGAGCCGGGACCAGGTTTGACCAGGAAGTTGGGCTGACAGAAGTGGCTGGAGGTCAATGGACGACCCGTCGCGAATAGGAAGATCTGGCTGTTGGAATGCCAGTACAAAAGAAGGAATGCATGCTCGAAAGAGAATGGGATGCAAGACCATTGTATGATCGCGAATTCTGTTGAGGATGCAGTTAAGTGTGACAGAACGGGGTAGAGGACGAGAGAGAGTGATGGGTGTGAGTATATCCAAATTGGACTCGATTTGGTATAGATGGTGGACTCGCAAATCACGCCAAGCAGGTCGATACGGAGGGTGAGAGGGCATACTGGATATCATAGAAGACAACGGCAGGATGAGACAACTGGAAAGGTTGAGCACCACTCTGTCAAAGTTTCGGGGAAGAGTATCCATAGCCTTCAGAACCAGGTGCAGCAGGGAATCAAGGGTGCGATGGTTGTGTGGTATACACACCACAATTGAGTGAAGAACAGACCCCGCAACCAAACACTGGTTCCTTCTTGCTAATGAACCTGGCAAGTTAACAATCTCCGGAACTGTTACACACCAGGCACACGTACACTACACACTCATACAGTGTAAACCAACCATTACACAACAGGGATTTGAATTACAGGGATTTGAATAGTAGCAGATATAAACAATATTATTTTGTCTCTTTAATAAATAACACTCTCACAGTATCTACTTTTCCCATTATTGAGATACTAACCCATAAACAATCCCGAATACCTCAGGTTGCGAGGACGACAGTCCGGAAAGAGTAAGAGAAGAAGAGGATCAACGGTAGGGACGTCAGAGCGAAGAAGAGTGGAGAACCATTGGGGAACAAGACTGTGAGGCAGTAGAGGATTACGGATAAGGGGCTTCAGCCAGCAAAGTTGGAGAGCACATTGCTGTATACCAGGATCCAAGATACCAAGGCCACCCTGTAGTCGGGGCAAGCAGAGAGTGTCAAAAGCAATGGGAGGAAAAGAGTTGACATGGAAGAACCTGCACACAATGGAGCGAACTCGGTCAAGGAAGGCGGAAGGGAATGAAACCACACGAAGGACGTGCCATAGTTGAGAAAGTACAAGAGAGTTCATTATGGTTGCCCACCCACGAAAGGAAAGAGATCGTGATCCATGAATACTGCAAAAGGTCTCAATTTTTGACAGGAGGGTGGTCCCGTAGGAGTCTCGTTGAGTGATAGAGGAAAATAATGGAAAACCAAGATATCGGAGAGAGGTAGGTGACGTACGATCATGCCAGTCAGTAACATTGTATGCACGAAGGAAAGTATTCCAGTCGGGGAGTGACGATCCTGAAAGGGAGAAGGCTTGAGTCTTGTGCATGTTTATGTGAGCATTAGATGCGGCAGCCTATGTGTTGAGATGGTGGTGAAGTCGAGATATGTGATCTGTGTCTGGAAGAAACACCAGCAGGTCATCGGCATAAGCCAGCAGTTTGACAGGAGATAAAGAGGGAAGAGTAGGAGGGATAGAAGGGAGGACACCGAGGAACAGAGGATCATGTATCACGCAGCGAAGCAAAGGCTCAAAAGCTAGGTTGAAGAGAATTGGTGAGAGAGGATCCCCTTGTTGAAGGCCATGGGCTTGTGTAAGAGGGCGCGAGAGAAACTCATTGACGTTAATCTGTAGCTGCGTAGAGAAAAATAGAGAAGAGACAGAATTAACGATGGAAGGAGGGAAGCGGAAATGAGCGAGCACTCGACGAAAATACTCTGGGTGTACTTGGTCATAAGCCTTTTCCTGGTCCAAGAGCAAGCCAATCCCTGAGGATCCATCCTTCGTGGCTTGTGCCATGACCAAACGAGTCAGCATTCCATTATCAGCTATAAATCTACCCTGAACAAAACCAGTTTGATATGGGGTGATAAGTGTGGTAACAGCAGAAATCATACGAGCATTCATGAGACAGGTAAACACTTTTGCATCAATATTAATCAAGGCGATGGGACGCCAGTTCTTCAGAGAACTGAGATCGCCTTTTTTTGGCAACAAGCAGACACAAGTGGACTGCCAAGAAGGAGAAAAGATTCCCTTCGACAAGACATCGTTATATATCCGGGAAACGAGGTCACCACACACAGGATGGGCGAGAATGAGGCAGAGAATCTCATATGGCAAACCATCTGGGCCCGGGCTACTAGAGCTGGGAGAGTGGGCAGCGCCTGACCAAATTGTGTCGAGAGCAAATGGCTGAGTCATATAGTCCTGTGCAAGTTCTGGCAAATGGAGATCTGAAGGCAAATGAGAGAGCAGCTCATCCACAGCAGAGTGGTCTATAGGATCAGGGGTGTACAAGCCTTCATAGAAGACTGCTGCGGCCTCAGTCATGGCGTCGGGTGTGGTGCAAATGTCATTTGTAACAGGGTGACGGAGGCTTGCAATGGCTTTGCGGGATTGGCGAATGGCAATAGTGCGTTTGAGGTATCCTGCAGAAGTCTCACCCTTTTCCTGCCAGTGTTTTCTGGCCTTGAGAGCCATAATCTCAACCTGTTCAAGTTGGACTTGCTGCAACAATCGTTCCACAATTGGGAGTTGGAAGTTCTGGGTGGGTTGGTGGCAGAAACAGTGAATGAGTCAGTCCCGTCGTTTTTGTAGGCGTGTTTCCAGGTCGTTCAGAGAGGGGCGAAGGTGGCAAGAGAAACATTTAACGAAACGAATGACTTCAAGCTTAATCGCATCCCATTGGGCTTGAGGAGAAAGATCAGCACGAAGGGCAGGAACGAGGGTGGAGAGAAGAGTGTTGAGATCGGTACGGAACAAAAGTGATTGTGCTAGGCAAGGGTTAGCATGCCAAAGTCTCTTACCAGAAGACTTTGTTGAAGGGAGGGACAGACTGACTGCAACCAGATAATGATCAGATCATTTCTGGTGAATATAGCTCACTTGTGGGTCTGTAGTGCGAGGGTGAAGGTCTGAGGACGCAAGGATGTAGTCAATGGTGGTGGAAGACAGGGCTCAGTGGAATGTAAGCTGCGGGTGCTGGCCACGAGGAGTGATACAGTCAGTCATATTGGTATCTATAAACTGTAGCCAGTCAGCTGGAGCACAACGTCCAAGAGCATAGTGTGAGTGAATTGCATAGTTAAAATCGCCCAATAGAATAAAGTTTGAAGGATTGGGAGGGATGAGGTCAGGAGTGGACAGTAAAGAGGCAAGAAAACAATAACATGGAGTTTGGGAAGCAGGCGCATAGATGATGCCTATCCTGAAGGGCGAAAAATTATTATCCACATGTGTGATAGTTGTTGTGATACACCTGCCACATGGGCTAAATAGAGGGTCAGTGAAGATAATGTGAGGGGAAAGGCATATAACACCGCAGTGTGGAGACCATAATGATGAAGAGGACCGAAATTGTTGGTCAAAGGTAGATTGAAGCATAGATGATGAGGCATGGGTTTCTTGCAGGGCTAAAATATCAATTCCCTGCAAGCGTAAATGGCGTATGAAAAAGGAGCATGATTCAGGGTGTCCGACTTTGGGTAGACCCCTACAGTTCATAGTGCCTATTTTAATCATTGGTTAATTTTGGCCTCTGTGCCGAGGGCTTTTGTGGTTTGTGGGTGAGTAAAGCAAGGAGGAGAGAGAGATGTATTGCGGCCTGTTGGACGTGTCGGCCAGGAAAAACGGAGATGAGTGTGGTGAGAGGCAGACTAGAGTCGGAGAGCCCAAGTCTCATCTCTATCCATGAGATTAGTTATCATTCTGTCGTCTCTCTCTTTGTCCCAGCCACGTGTGGGGGTGTCGACAGAACGGCTTTGAGGACGAGGGCCGGGGGACATGGGTGTCTCAGTTGGTGTCAGTAGAGTAAAGGTGGTCTTTGTGAGAGACAACTTAGACAACTCACGCAAAGCAGGTTGACAAGGGTTGTGCTTGGAGGCCTTCAATCCTCCATAGATGAGTGAGAGCTCAGTGGGAATCAAAGGCTTGGGCGCAATGATGGGGCAATCGAGCTTCGAATTGCGGTTGGGGTGGCAGGAGCGCTTGTTGGACGTCTTGGATGTCTTAGAAGGATCGGTAATGTATAGACAATTGGCTTGTAAGTGACTGGTCTTGTTGCCTCCAAAACACGTTCGGGTTTTGGCTGGGCGTTTGGTACATTTTGCAACGTCGTGCCCCATTTCCTTACAGTAGGTGCAGTGGGAGCCCATGGAAGGCCACTTACCAAGAATCTTTTGCATATTGTCGTATGCAATTTGGTACGTCAGAGAATCTGATGACACATCGTTGGTAGGTGTATTGGCAAGGACAACATAGCCAGAACCGTCAAAAAACCCATATGATTCATGAATGGCGATCTCCCGCACTTTGCCAAAAGGAGACATACATTTGGCGAGTTGTGTAGCCAGATTATGATAAGGAACACAAGGAAGCTTGGTTAGGAAAACATGGCGAACAATTGTGCCAATGGGAACAGCAGGTTGAGCGGGGAAAGATGAATCACCGACTACCAAAGGTTGAGAGCATGCTTGCTCGCAGTCAGCACTGGTAGGTAAATGGAGTTCACATATATCAGGGGAAGAGCGTGAGCCAAGAGTGATGCCCATGTTAACCTCACAAGGATAGGCTGAGAGAAGAGCTCTCCAGAAAGGGTCAAACTTGGGTGAGGATTTGGGTGGGATAGTGAAAAAAACTGAAAACTTAGAGGACTCTACATGCCAGGTATGTGGGGTCGTGTTATTCATAGAGCTGAAGATAACATGAGGTTGCTTTTCAAGAAGTGGAAGTGCGTTCTGAGTAGCTACTTGCGAGTAAAGAGGTGTCGAAGAGGGTGAGATTGGTGTGAATAAGGTTGGCAATGGTGAAGATGAGCCAGTGGTGGAGGGGTTTTTGACCCCTGGTGGTTTCGGAGTGTTAGTGGAAAGAGCTGTGTAAAAATGTATTCGTATTGGGATAGCTTAGTAGTTATCATCTTGTCAGTATAAAATATATATAAACAATTAAGTAATCAGCCCAATAATTATTACAGTTAGTACTGTAGATAATATCTTAAAGATTGTTAAGATAATTATATCATACTGCCGGGTAAACTGTGTCAGATCGATATGGAGCTAATTTAGTAGGAAGTCCTAAAGCTCTAGTATAAAAGAGAAAAGAATAGCTAAGAGCTAAAGAAGTACGATTTATGACTTGATGTCATAATTATAACACCGACACTAGTTAAGCAGTAAATACACTCTAATAACCAAATATAGTAAAGGAAGAAAGCCTTAAGAAACTAAGACGTAATGACAAGAGCAGATTGTGTTTTCTTATAAAAAGGGACACTTTTTATTTATGAATAAAGACAACTTATATACAGTCTCAAAGAATTTCTATACATCTCTATTATCAAATATTTTATTTTTCTATTGTTTTGTACCTGAAATACCACAATAGTGATAATAATATATAATCAATTATATGTATAATGATCTGTGTATTAGATAATATCATAAAAACAAATCCGTTTGATCAGAATAGCTGAGAATATTATTTTATCCTTCAGTCTTACTCTCAGATTCAGCAGTAATCAATACTTATTCACAACAGTAAAATAATAATTCAATTAATATTCTTACAGATAAGACATTATATCAAATAAGACCTTAAGATAAATGTTTCAAATAATTAGTATAAATATCAATAGCAATTTTCTTATAATAGAAATATCTTTTATCTACTTTATTATTTTGTCTGTTTGATTGTTCTTCTTTAAGTATATATCTTTACTATCAAGTATACTTCTTTGCCTGTTTTTATATCTATTAAATACTAATTTATAAATGTTGTACAGTTCAATCTTATCATAAGGGGTCGATTTGTCCGAGTGGTTAAGGAGTGTGACTAGAAATCACATGGGCTTTGCCCGCGTAGGTTCAAATCCTGCAGTCGACGACTTTTGGTTTGTTTTTGTTGCTGTCTTTTCCGAATTTTTGGAAACCAATCAGAATGGCGCTTAAACATATTTCTTTTGCTCACAAAAGTAGAATAGAAAACGAGACAGACATTTGTCGGACATTATTTTGATGAATCCGTAAAATCTGAAGATAGTTAACCACAGTACTTCTTTATGCGCAGTAATATCTTCCTGAGCATTAACCGCAGTATAATGACTATTTCTTTAATTAAATATAAATAATAACTACTGCGGATAATGCGCAGTATTAGTTTAGAAAACTATATAAGACAATTCAATTCATATCAATAAAAAGTATCTTTTATCCTCTCTTTGATTTTACGTATACTCCTTGATCCCCAGTGGGTTTGACCTTTTGACTTTGTTATAGTAAAAGGAAGACCAACCCAGATCGGGAACGACACATTTACAATAGTTGAGCAATTTTAGAAAAAATATAGAGAGTAATATTTCATTTGATAAAATTATCTCTCTGTCATATCTTTATTACTTTATCCTCGTTTACAACTCTCAATGAGTTTTACTAATTTCGGCTGTGTTGTAGCATTATAAGAACAATCCAGATAAAATACAACACTTTTTGTTGGTCATCTGCTGTTCCTGATATAGAATATCTTTCAATTCACTATAAATGTAGGTTGAAGTTCAGAAATTAAATATACATTTGGTAATTCCTTTAATATAAGTTCAATATTATACTGATTGGTTTTTATTTCTGTTAATCAAGATATATTCTATCGGTTTCTATAAAATGTAAAACTAATGTGTCTTGAGTAAAATAATTAGCTTAGGTAGTTTTACTTTAAAGATTTGTATCGATAAAAAGTATTTCATTCTTTAAATATCTATTTTTCTTTTAATTATTCACATTGACTTGATTCAGGGTGATTTATTACAAAATCTAAAAAAAAGGTTGGATTAATAGAAATATACACCTAGTCGAAACTTGATAGATTAATAACATTTTTATATATGTGTATGAGTCACCTATAGATTTAGTAAATGTTGATCCATTACAGCGCATAAAGAAGGGTTGATATTTATTTTAATATGAGAAACATTGTATTTTCTGCTGTAAATAAAGCCTATTTTTTTTTATGGACTCACTAGATATTTTGTAGTTTTTTATTTGTTTTACATCTAATTTATTAGCTTTATAATAAATTCAATTGATATTCAAGAAATAAACTCTAAAAACTGCATTATTATAAACAAATCTACATAATGAAGAGGTCATATATATATATATGAATATATTTGGGTTTTTTGCCCCTTATTATTACTTTCGCTTTTGTTCAAATCGTTCAAAAATATTTACCGTATGTCTAAGTTACAAATAGAAACACATCAAGCCAAAGTTATACAATCCCATTGGTCAATTATTAAAGTAAAATGACAGTTGTTACATCACAATCGTCTAACTATTGTGAGTAGTAATATACACCAGGTTCGAGAGAGACTGCATTCATTGTCCATATATATGCTTTGCAAAGCAAAGTGATCCAATACGTACTTGGATATAAGATCTAAGAGTTGCAAACCATGTATTTAACGGGACCAACTGCTTAACTATTCGCTAAATTCATTATTTTTAATACTTGACCTTACGAATATAACCTGCCAGTAGTGTGTCATATACGGTCTCTTATCCAGCACATGTTTTACAATAATTTACATCATCTGTTGATTGACAAACATTAAAAAAAATGTGTACAAGAGTATCATAAGAACCAATGAGGCAGAAACGAGAGAATGTATTTCTGGACAAACGCACATATTTTTATATTATATATTACATATTGAAAGTAGCAGACTTTTCAAAGTGTGAATGAATTCAATAGTAAAATACACAGATTGATGTATTAATTAGGTAACGGTAAAGAAAAAACGGCGTGATTCAAGAGGCTTATACATGTGAAATAGTTTTATTGGAATTAGAAAAAAAAAGAACCACTACAAAAGTGTTTATGGTTCTTTTTTTATATATATTTTATTTTAGGAGTTTTCACTTTTGCTAAGTTTGGTAGGAATTGATGCTTTTTTTATATAATTAAAGCTATGATATATATACAGTTTTAAAAAAATGATACTATTTTTTGAGGGGATTGTCTATTGTACAATTTCTTGTTACTGTTATTTTACAGTGTGTTGTGTGGGGTATATACAGAATATTGAAATCAAAATCGATTCAAGATGAGCGATAGGCCGCTGGACTAATGCGGACTGTGACTGAAGGATGATCAAAGATAAGTGAATCCAGGGCCATAGATTTTTCGGATACTGGGCAAGATTTTGAAAAGTGCTCGTCATCAGAAAGGTCAGAAAGATAGGAGTCATTAGAGATCGTCGATGAAGATGAAATCAAAGAAGGTGCGACTGTGTTTTGGACTTTGTTGCAGCTAAAAGCTTTCTTGACTGAAGCGAGGCCTTTGATACATTGTCCCATTGATGATGTGAATGTGGAGACACGGCTAGATGTGTTGGTAGTTGAGGATTGGCGGCGCTGGCACTTTGAGAAGATACGCTTTTGGATAGAGAGGATCTGCATTGTAGAGTGTGTGTTATGAGGTGTAAAGGTAAAGAAAGGCTTGGTAGGTAAGATGTTGTTGAGAGAATATGTAATAGAAAGGAAAGAAGTGCAAAAATGTCAAACCTTTATATACTATTTCAAAAGGCCCGTGCTCTCTGGGTATCAGTGGATATTTACATGCTTCTTCTTCACTTTATTGCCATTTTTAGGACAAAGACAAGGGGCCATCGTATCTGATGTCTGGCATCTATCGGAAAATACAGCCAAAAATCCTGATCCACAAAACCACAGCCAAAAATAATAATCAATAATCCATTATCCATAATCCATAATTTTATCCCCCTATCGAGAATCGAAAGTACATTTGTCTCTTGTATTAATTGATTCACGTCACCTTAATTATTCTCTATGAATATCTTGATTTATTGATCCCAATCTTTCTGTATATGTAAGTACTTCTACTTAGTATATCTATATTATATATACAGCTTGGGTAGAAAATATGTTTATTACTCTGTCGCAGTGTACAATTATCGTCATATATAAACTCTTTTGTTAATTCCAAACAAAATGATCATAAACACACACACACACACACATATATATATATATATTATCTGGGCACAGACACAACAAAGTACATAATCATACTTTTTGAAATCTCAATATTGCCCGATCTAATGCAAAAAAAACAGAGCAGACAAAGTACGATGGATATCCACTTCTTCTATGATTTTCCTCCCTAGTTATACTACTAAATAGCAGTAATAATAGTATTGTTATTATTTGCTTTTATTAACAGGCAATATATAGACCGACCATTCACACCAAATAATTCTATTTTTTTGAGCACAAACTAATTTTCATCATAGTGCCTATAGAGCTATTTTGAACATCAAATGATTAATTTTGTTCGATTTCTTAGTCATTGTCGTTGTTCATATATGTGCGTGCTATAGAGCAGGAATTTCCAGATGTATCTGCACAATATATACATATATAGAAAAAAAAAGATATATAGTACAAGCTTTTTACACTTAGATTTTTTTGCAGTGTAGATTCTAAGGTCTATGTAAAGTAAAAGAAGAAAAAAAAATGTATATATGTATCTTAGATTCACTCATTATTTCCCCTACCCTCCATTTTCATTTTCATTTTTTTAAACAGTCTTCAATGCTTTCTCCAACTGCTCCAACAAAATCTTGTTGTCCTGGTCGGTACCAACAGTGATACGAAGGCAGCCAAAACAGCCGTGCTCTTTGCCTCTGAAACGAACAACAACGCCCAGGGATTCGGCCAAGAGACTGTAGACCTTTTCGGCACGAACATTACAAGGCTTGTTGTTCTTGTCAAGGACCTCGATCAGGATAAAGTTGGCGTCATTTGTACCAAGAATGTTACCCAGACCCTGGACGGGGAAAGATGTGAATCGCTTGATGAGAATGTTGCGCTGATTAATGAGTGCAGAGCGGTAAGAGTTCATTGTGGCTAAACCCTCGTCAGAGAGAGCCTCATATGCAATTGTGGCACTGGGAGTACCGATGTTGTAAGGTGCCTTTGTGTTGTTGAGGATCTGAATAAGATCAGGGTTACCCAATGCAATGCCAAGTCTATCCGATAAAAAGTTAATTTACGTATATAATTTTTGGATTCAGCCACTTATTATATATATATATATACGTGTGTGTGTATGTATGTATGTATTAAGTAGTTTTTTTTTTACCTGATACCAGCCAAACCAAAGCTCTTAGAAAGAGTTTGCATAACAATAAGGTTGGGGTACTTGTCAACCCAGGTGGAGACGGTACCATCATCATGATCGACAAAGTCAACGTAGGCCTCATCAACTACAACAATTCCTTCGTACCCAGACTCCAGAACAGCGCGAATGCTTTTGTGGGTCAGAGCAGTACCAGTGGGGTTACCAGGGGAACACAAGAACACAATCTTGATTTCGGGATTGGCTTTCAAGCAAGCAGCGATCTTTCCAAAAGCAAACAAACACATAAATAGAATAAGACTATTAGAACATGATCTTGTTTTCTGCCTGCCTATATAATGTGTTTGTTTCCGGATAAATGGTTACTTACATCATCAAGACGAAGCTGGTAGGCACCACCCTCAACGTCAAGGTTTGATCGGACGACACCGACATCATTTATCTGGGCACAGACAGAGTACATTCCGTAGGTTGGGGGAGTAATGAGAATCTTGTCTTTGCCTGGAACGCATGCCACACGAATGAGAAGATCAATGACCTCATCAGAGCCTACACCAAGGAATACGTGACGAACAGAAGGCACATTGCGCAATTTGATTACACGTTCTTTGATACGGGCATGGTAAGGATCAGGGTATCTGTTGAGTTCTCCCTCACGCTTGGTGGGTAAGGCAGGTCCATAGGCATTCTCATTGGCATCCAACAAAACACCTTCGCTGTAGTCATCGCGGGCACAGCGATAGGGAGCAAGGGCAAGAATGTTGGGGCGAATGACTTTTTCGATAGAGAATGGCATTAGGAATTAAGAATGAAGTGTTTGACAGGTGGGTAATCGAGAGAAAAAGAGAGAAAAAGAGAATAAATAATAAATAAAATAAAATAAACCAAAATTGTGTGCTGTGACTCAATGGGGCGGGGGTTGTTCAATAAAATAGAGAGAGAGAGAGAATGCGTTTTTAGGGTGGATTTGGGCAATTGATGAAGTTTCTGAGTCATCTTTAGCAATCGATAACTTAAATATTTTCTCTCTTTTGGCTATAATCATAGAATGCATTTGGTAGCACCGCAATATCTCTAATTTTTAACACAAACTCATTATCCACCATACAAAGTTTGTTCCTAAAATGGTACCTGAATGAATAAAATTTCATTTAGTCAATTATTATTACTGAATAAATAAATGTCGTTTTTCAATTGAAATATATATATATATCATACGGTTCTGTTTATTAGACTGGTATTATCAGCAATGATAATGTTGCATCGCATATTCATTCGATATAAAACGTTTTTGTGGATCTACAAGCCATCGGGAGGGAAAAATGAGTGAAGACGATTATTTCCTGTTGTTTCACTGACGATAGACAATATTACTATTAATGATAATAACAATACTAATAAATTAAAAGAGTTGGCTAAATATAAAGAATTAAAGTACATAAAGGTAGAGGGTTTCAAAGAAGAAAAAGGAAAGATCGCGTTTTCTCTTATTGTTGTTATCCCAAATCTAATTCAATCCGGTGGCCTCAAGACTCTGTTAAGAGGATTGTACGGTTGTGACTTGACGAGATGACGCACAATTATTAGCTCTATAAACTCATCCTGCATTTATCTTTTGTATTGAACCAAGAACCCATTTCTGGTTCCAATTATTTTGTTTTAAGATCAATATATATATATATATATATATATAATGTCAGATCCTTCATCTAGTTCTCGTCCGACTCGCTCATCAGCACCTAATCTTGATGAGGCAACCAAAATGCTCGATGAGGAGCATGTTACTCGTCTAACTGAAGACGTCTTTCGAAGGTTGACAAACTACACACGTTCAGAGCTACTAGGTAACCAGAATGGTACAAAGTCTTGTGTATTTTGAAGAGGAAGGAAAAAAAGACAGGGACAGGGACTTGATTCTATAAGAAACTAAATGACAATCTCTGTTCTTTTTTTTTCTTTTGAAACAAAAACACAATCGAATGGTATAAATATAATATAAATATTATAAAAAGTGGTTGCTGAGGATTGCCAGCTGTTGGAGACAATGAATAAGATGACAAAAGATAAATACAGTCAAATGTCAGAAATGAGTCAAAGATTGATGGATGAAATGTCAAAGGTTCAAAATTCATGTAAGGAATCACATTATAAAAAGCAAAGAAAAAGTTGAGATTCTAAAGGAGTTCCACCTTTTTAATTTTGTTTTCAAATTTGATTTGACGGATAAACGATAAATTACATACATATAAAAACTCTATAGACGCAGACTTTTCGCACTTTACTGCACAGATAGACGCAATTAGTCAACAGGCTATTCAGATGGAAAAGACAGCAAAAGCGCTAGATGAATATTCTCGACACTTGGGTAAGAAGAAGAAGAATAAAGACCTTTGAATTTGATATTAAATGTTTATTTCTGTGTGTGTGTGTGTATATTAAAATACAATATAAATACAATACAATATGTATATAATTCATGTAGAGAATAAGCTTCAACTTCGTCCAGCATGATTTTTGAGTCATTGTGACTTTTTTGACTTTGAAGTTTTGATTAAATCCCTCTCTTTCTCTCTCTTTCTCTCCTCCCACCCTCTTGTCCGATTCCTTCACCTCTTTTTTTTTTATTTATTTTCGAGTGAAAAACTAAAGACATTAGAATAAACCATGTCCAGACCTGCTCTTTCTCTTTTGACCCAACGCTCACTTAGAAGCAACTTTGGTGGTGTATTGAGAGCACCAGCTGTTTTGGTATAGCACTTCTTCTTCTGTTCCTTTACTTTACTTTTAATTAATTATAAACAAATTGTAGACAATAAAATTTTACCTACATAGCCAAATACATGATAATTGACAACCTTTTTTTTTTTTAAAAAAAATTAATATTATTGTTCTTGCCACCATTGTTGTGATTGTGCTTGTTCTTATACTGCTTGTAGGTTAGACAGATTGGCAGTGTACCCACCCCTGTTTCAGAGGTAAATTATAATTACCAAAAGTTTCAGAATTAAATAAATAAATAAATAAAAATGTATATTTAATATAAAAAGTATTTCTTAGATCACCCACCCAGACAATGATGTACCCCAGCAGACACTCGATCAAGTGAAGCAGTTCAACAAGTACACAGTCACTACCTACAATCGCCCAGATATCGTTATCTCTCGCGGAAAAGGATCTTATCTCTACGACACCAGCGATCGAGCCTACCTTGATTTCACAGCAGGAATCGCCGTCACAGCCCTGGGCCACTCTGACGAAGAGGTTGCCAAGGTACTCTACGAACAGGCACAGAAGCTAGTGCACACCAGCAACCTCTACCACAACGAACACGCCGGTGCACTGGCAGAGAAACTTGTCACTGCCACCCAAAAGAGCGGCGGATCATGGGCTGACAAACTATTCTTGGCAAACTCTGGCACCGAAGCCAACGAGGGTGCACTCAAGTTTGCTCGCAAGTGGGGTAAGGATGTTGCTGGTCCCGAGAAGATGGAGATCGTCTGCTTCACAAACGCTTTTCACGGCCGTAGCATGGGCGCTCTTTCGGCCACTTTCAACCCAAAGTACCAGAAGCCATTCGCTCCCCTTGTGCCTGGATTTGTCACTGCTCCATTCAACGACACCCAAAAGGCTGTCGAGGCCATCACTGAGCGAACCTGCGGTGTGATTATCGAGCCAATTCAGGGTGAGGGTGGTGTCCACGCTGCCAAGGATGAGTTCATTGAGGCAATTCGTGAAAAGTGCACAAAGGTCAATGCCTTGTTGATCTTTGATGAGATCCAGGTATGATTTATAGATTTAGTTATTTAAAGATAAAACCTTTAAGAAGAGGAGATCTAGATCTAGATAAATATAAAGATAAACATTCTAATTAATTTATTCATTTATCTTTGCTCTTGTAAAATCTAGTGTGGTCTCGGTCGATCTGGTAAGCTTTGGGGTCACCAGCATTTTAGCAGCAAGTGCATTCCTGATATTCTCACCATGGCTAAGCCTCTTGCCAATGGTGTACCAATTGGTGCTATCTTGACCAACGAGAAGGTTGGAAAGCTTATCCAAGCAGGTAGGATATATTACATAAATAGAAAAAAAAGAGGGATCCCAACATTAGTACTAATACTAATACTCAATAACAATAATAATAACGATACTGATAATAAACCAATCGATCAATCGATAAAGGTGATCACGGTACTACATTTGGTGGTAACCCTCTTGCCTCTGCTGTTGCCTTGAACGTGGTTGGTCGTATTAGCAAAGACGAGTTCATCAAGGCTGTGAACGAAAAGGGTGCTGCCCTCAAGGAGGATCTTGAGGCACTCCAGGCCGCCTATCCTGGTGTCATAAAGGCTGTCCGTGGCAAGGGTCTCCTTCTCGGTGTAGAATTTACCAAGGATCCCTCTCCAATTGTCAAGATGGCTCGTGAGCGCGGTCTTTTGGTCGTTACTGCTGGATGCAACACTGTTCGTGTGATCCCTGCCCTCACAATCAGCAAAGAGGAGGCCCGTGAAGGTGTTGCTCGTTTTGCCGGTGCTGTTGAGCAGTTCTCCAAGTCCAGCTAAATATAAATTAGATTATCCTTGAAAATAATAATAACACACACATATATATATATTATATACAAGTACACATTTTTTGACACATAAAACAATACGCATACGCATATACATACACACTATACTATATTATATTATATAAAATAAGGGTACAATATTGGCATCAACCTTGTAGCATTTACTTTATCCATATATGCATATATTCAACACTTTAATACATATTATAAAATACTCACGAAAGGCGATCACAGAAGGTGCTTACAGAGTGTTTGATTGATCGACCATATTTAGAAATCATAAAAGTCCAAAGAAAACAAATAGGGACGACATTTCTGATGCTTAAATATATAAAGATATTTTTCTTTGCTTTGAGTATCACTACCACCTATGAAGAATGTATACATCTATTATTTTTATTGCCTTGACTGGCTTTACTTCTTTCTTCCAATACCTTATTTGCTTTTATAAGCTGGTCTATGTCTTTACTCAGAACAATATTTTGTATGCTTGATCGTGCGCTTCGTAAGCATCATTTTATTTGAATCAGTTATCTTTTGTAGTCTCTTTTATATTAAGACATAAATTCATTCTCCACCCAAGATTCACAATCCTATGCCACACCTTTAACTACACTACCAAAAAGAAAAAGAAAAAAGACGCCTACCCATCTACCTACTCATTCATTCACCCATACATACCTTCCTCCATCCTCAGCTCAATAAATAAAAACAAGACTAAAATTACCAATAAACCAATAAAAGAAGAATGGTGTCAACAGACGAAATCAATCTTCACAGACTGCTCATCAGTTGCGAGAAAAAGATTAAGCAAGAAAATGTTGATCTTTGGACAGGATCCGAAAAGATAAAGTTTGCTACGGTCAGTCTCAACAAATGATAATAATACAAATAAAAGCAACCAAACGTAATCAGATTCAAGAGATTATTGCTCTCTCTCTTTTTTTTTTTAAAAAAAAAACCAATCACCAATTTATGACCATTTGAACCATTAAGATTTTGTTTCTTGTTTATTAAATTATAACATTATATATATACCAATAAAAACGTATATTGTGGATTCACAGTATGTAAAGTATCTCCAAACTCTCATTGCACGTTCTGGTCTTGCTCAAAGGTAGATATTAATTTGTTCATCCATCCAGCATGTGGATTTGCATCTTAAGATGTACTAATGATTTTAATAGTCGAAGATATAATGAGCGAATTAATTCCCTAGCAGAAGCAGTGTCATTGCACACGATGGTAACTTTTAAATAATTTCAAGTAATAATAATAAATAGAATATAATATAAAGTAATATAAAATATAATAAAGTTTAATTAAACAATTGTATATATATAAGCAAGTGGATGTAGAAAAGGGTATTGCAGAAGCCAGAGCTACCAAAAAAGTTTTGCTTGATAGCCTGCAGTCCCAAGAAGCACCTGAGCCTGATTGGTTCTTGAATCTCAAGGAAGAGATGGCTAGAGAAAAAGAACAAGATGAAAAGGCAGCAAGACTAGAAGACGAAGCGGAAGAGGAGGAAATGATGGAAGATATGCTGAGTGAAAAAGTACCCACTCCTCAAGGTAAAGAAAGAAGAAAATAACGGTCTACAATAAACGCGAAGAAAAAGCAAGTCCTTTTTTGTTGCCGTTGCAAGCTACTTTAATTGATTACAAAACTAATACCTATTTGTATGTGTGTATTTGTATTCATTATTTTATTATAGTTCCAATTGAAAAGCCAGATATTAGACAACGACATGGGTAAAGTGAAGAAAGTTAGACATTTTCATTTCGTTATATATATATACATATATATTTGAACAATGGAATTTGCGTGTGATTTATTTGATCCGATAATTTAATGGTTTTGTATTCTGTGCGTAGACCTAATATTACTCGCGAAGAAGAGACCTCCAATATTGAGCATGTTCTCCAGCACCATCGCCAAATGCACGATGAGCTCACAACCGATCTCGGACGAATGGCAAAGCAGCTGAAGATGAACACCGTGAGATTTGGTGATACATTAGCCAAGGATGATATGGTAAAAATAAAAATGAATAAGAATATATGTATAATATTTATACACTCTATTTTAATATACTATTATATGATTCTTTGTGTGTGTGTGTGTGTTTTAGGTACTTCGAGATGCTCAGGAAGCAGTAGAGACCAACTTGGAGCGCATGCAGAGAGAAGGCAAGCGTCTAGAGATCCACAATTCAAAATCGTGGGGAACCAGTTTCATGACTATGGGAATTGTGTTATTTGTTTGTATTGCGTTTATTCTGGTCTTTTTGACAATTAAACTTCTTCCCAAGGCAAAATAAAAACAGAAATAAAAACAAAAATAAAGTAAAATCTTAATAATAATATAAGATATATACAGATATATTATTATTTTCTGCATTTTACAATTGAATGATAGCAATGGAAATCAGTCAAGGAGTACAAGAAAAAGAAGAAGAAGAAGTAATTCATTTATATATAAGTGCGTATGAAGCAACTGGTAAAAAGCACATCCACATACAAACATAAAGATATATATATATATATACATAGGATTAGAAATATGAATAGGTTTCGGAAACTTGATTTCTGTGAAAGTCGGACCTAGTTTGTTTTCTGCACTTCTTTTACAGATAATTAAAATAAATTTAATATAAATTAAATAAATTATGATAAATTTGCTTTCGGGTATTTCTTTAGCTTCTTTTAGCAGAATTTTGACAGTGACAACTACAAGGGAGCTAAGGAAGTGTATATGCCTTTAACATATACCGGTAGCTTTCTTTAAATGATAACGATAGTGATAATTATAATAGAAATGATGATAACATTGGTGTATACACCAAAAGGTAAAGATTTATACTTTACAGTTTGAGTACACCATAAAATAAAATAAAGTAAAGACAATATCACACACATACACACACACACACACGGCGTATTCTGTTTTCTTGGAAATAATAAACTTTTTGTTTGTGTTGCCATGGCGGTGCAACTTTGAAGAGTCTAAATATTATATACACATAAAAAAATGCTGCCTCTATATCTTTTTTTTTTTTTAAAAAAGATAAAATTTATTATTGGGGGTTTCCAATTATATCTACACATGTATTCTATTACGGGGTTTATTTTATTCTATCGCATCTTAAACTGTTCCTTTTCTGGCATTTAATTTGCACTGTTTTATCGCAAGTTTTGTCTTAAAAATAAATAAATGCGCTAAAAACGTAATAATTAATGCAGAATATCGAAAAAAGTTAAATCCCAAAAATAAATAAATTAAAAATACGATAGATGAAAAAACCCCGTCTTTTTTTTTTTTTTTTTTTTAAAAAAAAGAAATTTTAACTGTAATATGTATATATATATAAAAACAAAACGTTTCTTTTTAAACTTTGATTTTCTGCAACTAAAGTAAACCCAAATTAAAGTAGATAAATAAATAGATAGATAAATAGATAAATAGATATATAAATCAATTGATATATAAATTAAAGGGAAATAGATATATATATAAGTATACAAAATGAACAAGCTACAAGCTCATTTACACTCAACCCTTGTGTATGTGTGTGTTTTTGATTCCACGTTTTTTTTTATAGTTTTCTTCTTGCTTCTTCTTCTTCTTTTTTATAATTTTTTTATGTACCGAATAAACCTTAGTGGTTACGTGTCATCAAAATAATAATAATGATAATGATAATGATGATATCAGCTCTCTCTATTTATTTATTTTTTTTTAAAAAAAGGAAGGATCTTAAGAAGATGCTTTATAAAGAATATAAAATATCAGGTAATTAAATATATGCAAAGTACATAAAAGAAGACTGTAATGGTTGTCTTTTGCAAGATGTATAAAAAAGAAAAATATTAAAGAGACGGAGATTTAAACATATAACATAAATATATATATTTCCCTTTAAATAATTATTTCAGGGGGCGACCTGGAAAAGGGTTTTTACCTTCTCACGTCCTTGATGTCATGGAAACCATTATAATCTCTATTTATTTATTTATTTATTTTTAATCCGAACCATCGCACAGTGTGGGACAAGGGTCCTGATTTCGTTCTACTCCAAATCAAAGGTACCTTGGGGTACACATCTTTAAAGCAACCCAAAAAGAGTTTTATATATTACATATTTGAAATGTCAGATTCTGATATATAGATATATTACACGTATACTTACGCACATAATAATAATAATAATAATAATAATAATATTTTATAGTCAAATGACTGTCATTGGAATGCATTTATGTTGTTCTCAATGAGCTCTTGTACATATCATAAATTATTGATAAAATTATACTATACTTCTTTGAGAAAAGCAAATCAAAATGGAGCAAAATTGAAGATTCGATTCTTTTGATCTTTTGTAATAAACCCAAAAAAAAAGAAGAAGAAGGGAGGAGAAAGATAAGGAGGAGAAAGATAAGGATAAGGAGGATAAAGATGGTGTTGATGGAGAGGAAGAGGAGGAATAAGGTGTTATTATTATTAATTTTTTTTCCTTCTTTCTCTTTCCCTTTTCCCTTAACTAGCTAATTATATATGTATATATATTAAAGAAAAACGGAAAGAGTAAGAATAAGAAGGATGTTAATTTGATTTGATTTGATTTGATTTGATTTAGGTTGATTTGGATTTGGATTTGGATTTGGATTTGGCTGGTCTTCTTTAGCGAGCTTCTTGGACATCATAAAAGTTCTTCAGATATTCTTCAGCTTCAGAGTATTCAGCCTTGACCTGAGGTAATAGAGGTGTAATTTTGGCCAGAGCTTCGGCCTCTTCTAGCTTTTCACCCTCCTCATTCTGACGGTTTCCAATATTCTGGATCTTCTCGCAAGTTGCCTTGACCTTTCTCAATCCAATTGCAGCAGAACTTCCCTTGAGAAAATGTCCTAGGCGTGAAAGTTCTGAAAGATCCTTCTTGTCTCTGTAGAAAGACAAAGTCAATTAATGAGTTAAACACAAGAAGCAAAAGGAAGAAAGAGCACTATATATACATATATACTTACAGTGCAGCATCCATGTCATCAAATGTGGCCTCTGCTTGTTCAAAGTAGTTGAGTACAATACTGTATGAGAAATCATGATCGTCTTCATCGTCCATGTCCAACAGCTGATCAAAGGTATTCATGTCAATTAGGTCTTCGGCATTCAACACTCGTGCCTCATTGCTCTCTTCTGAATGCTTGGATTCGTTATCTGATGCATCGTCGTCGTGTTCTTCTTTATCCTTTGTACTTGTAGGTGTTGGGGGCTTTTTGTTTGTTTTATACGTGTACATTCATTTGGTCATTTAGTTGTAGGTCTATTAGGTTTGTTCATTCTCGGGTAGGAGTACCTCTCACCTTTTGGTTTTCAATGTCCTTGGTTGGCAATGGAGAGCGAGCATTGGTTTCTTTGGCTGACATGTTTTCGAGACAACAATATGTATATATATATATGTGTGTGTGTGTGATATAAAATATATATTAAATTAAATTATATTATATTATATTATAATATAATTTATTTATATAGAAGAAAAAAACGCAAGAGAGAAAAGAGAGAAAGAAAAAGAAAGAGAGAAGGAAAAAGAAAAAAAAAAGAAAAAAAAAAGGGACAGGTGGTGCAAAATCTGTAAAGGATAAAATGAGAAAGTCAAAAAAAAAAGAAAGAAAAAAAAAACGAAGCAACAAGGCTTTCGCGATTTTTATTTTATTTTTTTTCTTTAGAATAATATATATATATAAAATTATACTAAAAGGCGAAATTATTACGTGAACTGTTAAAGAAGTCTATTTGCACCACGCCGGTTTTGCATTTGCGTCATTGATATAGAAAAATAGATAAAGAAGAACATATTATATAATGTATACAATTGAAGTATATTGGTTTTTCTATTTCTTTGTTATCTGACCAGGCCTGACGTCTACAAACATCAAATTAAATAGTAAGTGAGGTCTAGATTAATTAGAACAAAAGGAAAAAGAAAAGACTACCAGACAAGCTGAAGGTTGAAAACGGCCGGTTTCATCAGAATGCAGAACACAAAATATAAATAAGAAGAGGGGGATCTAGATTTAATGGATTTTATCTCTTTGTTTGTATGCAGACCTGTACATATAGTCACATCAATACATAGAATTGATACACATGATACACCTGATATACACATTGGCATTGGTATTGGGATAGACATTAGTCAATTCACCTAGTTGTGGTTGACCAGTTTGGGGGGGGGGGGGGTTTATTAATTACTATTCCCATGTAAGGTAAATATCTTGTTACTTTAAAGGGAAATCCTCAAAAGTCTAGCCTTTCACTAAACATACCTCCAAACAATAAGATAGTGGTGGTTAAATATTGGGATTTTGACAGCCAATACATGTATACATATGTATATAGTTTATCATTGATAGAATTTATGATGATCTATCATAATTATACGAACAGACATTCAAAAGCCATCTCATAAATTGAAGCCATTATTTCAATACAAACATAAACATAAATACATACAAAGACAGGTTTTTTTTTTATTATTTTTGATTTACATTAATACTAAATACTATACAAAAAATAGACAAGTCTACACGTTTGTGTTTAGTGCCCAGGTTAAATATTATATTTTATTGGGATCTTTAATGTCCAAGACCAGTACGGTTGTGTCTGAAAAAGGCTTGTACTGGTGCCTTGATTCCTTCGTTTGTAGCACCAATCGAATCTCCTTGACTCCACCTATTATAATTATTAGTAATAATAATAATAATAACATTTTTGAAAAATAAATAAAGTAAAAAAGCATATCTTTGTAGTGTAGTGCAATGTGTCAAGCTCACTAGAGATCCATATACCACTTACCCCAAGCTAGCCAGCATGCGATGTCCCTTGTTTGTCTCGTCAATGGGTGCCGCACCTGACCCTACTACTCCACCCATAGGTAGCTGCCTTTCGCCATCATACTCTCCTCGACGATTTGATCTCTTGGGTCGTTTTGGAGCAGGAGCCTTTGACTTTTGGCGCTCACGATTTTCTTGCTTGCGAGTCTGTATTTTGTTATTTTGCGACATTGATGAAACCAATCCCTCATCGCCTTTTCCTTCTGGAAGGACATTCAAGACTTTTCGGATAAAGAGTTCAATGTGTTCTTGGCTAGAAGGCACATTTGTTTTGTTTGTTCTTACCAACACAATGTTTCTACACATACACACACACACACATATATATATATATATATATATTGTTAATATCTTTTTTTTTTTAAAAAAAAAAGAGTTTCTCAAGGGACAAATTTGGACCTTAAAAAATTAATAGGCAAGACCTGTCAAATCTTAAAGTTCAAACTTGTCCACCAGGAGAAAGTAAAAAGGACCCCTCTTTAAAGAATTAAACACTGTCTATATGTAGAGTGTAGACTATATATGTATTTCAATTAACTAACTTACCCAGAGGAAGGTGAACCTGTAGTTCTCAAGGCAATCTCATAAAAGTTCCCCAAAAGGCTAAATTGCTTTATATAAGGCGAGAAGTTTTGTGGCAATATTAACCTTAATAGATATATAATTGTAAATTAGAAACAAGAAACCAACAAGAGAAAAAAAAGGAGTATTCTATGAGTGATTATATATATGTCGTCTACTTACTCGGGATCCTCTGCATTCTGCGCAAAGCCTTTCAAAGTTCTAGATAATAATTAAGGGGTACTCAAACGAAAATAATAATAATGATAATGATAATGGTAATAATAATACAAATTTTAATACTAGCAATACCAAGTAAGAATCAAAAAATAAATATAAAAAAAATTGGATAATTTCTTTGAACTTTTATTAACATTACTTGGTATTGCTATTATCATCATTACCATTACCGTTACCATTACCATCATTATCATTGTTTTCGTTTGACTCCCCCAATATTATTTGGTCAATTCACACATTCAGACGCATAAAAATCATAAGAGAGAGAAAAAAGCCCTCTATCTATTCGTAACAATTGGCTTACCTATTGATTTGCCATAATTTAGTCACTGGGACACGACTTGGTTGAGCTGAGTAGCGTATTCATAAAAGAGAGGGATTAGTTTATTGCATAATTATATCATGCTTGTGTTGATATTAGAGATGTCGTTGAGTTATGGTGAATTAACTACTACTACTACTATACTGTATGTTTATCGTGTTTGTTTCTCTTGATTTAAATAAGTTTAAATTTTGAATTTGCCACAAATAACCCTCCCATTGCTCGGTATTTTAGATACCGAAACAATTAAAGATCAGAACTGCCTTATTTGGGTTTTGTGGCGAATTCACATCAATTTGCCACAGGTCAACACCCTCTCTATTATTATCTTTATTTTATTTCATCTTACATTTCTTCCGAGATAGCCAGCTAGGTGCAACACCATGATAGCTATTATAGCTGTTGTTGTTGTCGGGTGAGGTACCTTGCTCATCAACTTCATTGTCGCTCAGTGTTAAGTTAATGCAATCTTGCGCGTCATAGTAAACCGATCCATCTTCATCAGATGGATAATCATAGTAATCTTCCATTGTTTCTTTGCTATATGTACGCTCTATGGCATCAACATCAATTATATCTACGCCTGAATAACCCTTGGTTTTTTGGTACTGCGCAGGAGTAAGCGAATTAGCGTATCTCAGTATTCTCTCGAAATCTTTGGGCGATACTTTAGATCCGTTGAAGAGATGCTGAGCGGGTTCTTTTTCTCTAGCTTCAAATTCAGCGTCAAGGTCGTCCATTTCCTCTTCTGCATGGTTCTGGTATTCTGCAGGATCACGCGAGCTAGAAAACTTCAGCAATGCTTCAAGATCTTGGGGAGACAATACTTCACAGTTGTAAATATAGTCCTCCAATCTTTCTTCTTCAGCCTTTTCTTTTCCTTGTGCAGCAGCAGTATTAGCTGATGCACCTCGTTTGTTACGCTTATTATTGTTCCCTTTTGTCGAACGTTGTTCTTCTGACGAGCTGATGTATATATCATCTCCAGGAATGATCCTCGACTCGGCTCTTTTTCTGTACCTATCTCTGCGTTGCTTTTGTGGTGTCGTCTGTTGGCTCGAGTTTTGTGGTTTATTATCTTGCCGTTTAGCCTGAGTTTGTGTACTGTCTTTAGTTGGAGCACGGAAGAAAGCACGGTCGTTTGTAATATTCAGATCCATATTCGTATCCTCATTGATATTAATATCCATAGTCTTTTTCGTATTCGTATTCGTGTTTGTGTTTGTGTTTGTATTCATGTTATCCAAATATATTGATGATAATCCAGTATCATTGATTGCTGATGGCGCAGAGTCAAACACGAAATCAAGCATACTACTTTGAGACATATCTTCCTCTAAAACAGCTTCTCCGACGTTGTCTATAATTTCACACACACACACACACAGATATATTTATATCTTGTTAATCAATCGAAATTATCGGGGTTATCATAACAAAAACCTTACCTTGATTATGATGTGCCTCTAAAATACTGGGGTCTGAAACGAACCCCAAGCAGCTAAGGACAGATTTTGAGTGAAAAGGACTAATATTGGCAGAGTCTTGATCAAGAGCAGTCGATTCGGCATAACCTGGGATACGGAAAACATCCTCCACATGACCGCTATTTGCATAGTTAGACTTGTTTTCGTAAGAGTCTAACACATATCCTTTAATTAGTATATCTACTACTATTATTTCATTTCTTCTCTCTTTTTGGATTTTGTTTTTCGAAAAGCATCGTGCTTACCTCTTGATACCATGTGCTGGTTACCATACTTTTGAGTCATGTATTCCTCTTCGTCATCTTCAAATCCATATTCGTCTTTGTCAATATCATCGTCTTCGTCAGTATGCCCTAAATCAGAATCATCTTCAATAATCCGTGATTGATATCTGCTTCGTCCGGTCTGCATATTGTTTTCGTCTGAGTCGAGAAATCCACGGATATTGCTTCTTCCTCCTCCTCCACCACCACCTTCTCTACCACCTCTACGTCTACCTCTTACTCCTCCTCCGCCTCGACCTATAAGTGTATTATTAGTATTGTTAGGATAATAACATTATCTTCCGCTATGAAAGGCTCCTGCTCTTGTACAAGAGCTTTAATTCAGTAATATCGAATTGTTCTCTTTTACCATTCTGGGCTGAGCCGTAGATCCTGGAAGATGAGTTTCCTGCATTGTACGCTCTACTTCTACCTCTCTGTTGAACAGCGGTTTGGCGTCTTGGTCTTGAGCTCTTTGGCATGTTAAATCGAATGTAACTAGGATGATGAATGTGTCTTTTGAATGTGTGTGTGTGTGTGTGTGTGCCTTGCAACGATGATTATTTTCTATTAATTTTTCTTTCTTTCTTTCTTTCTTTCCTTTCTTTTTTTAAAGAAAAAAATTAATAGTCACAGTGCGAGATATAAATCTGACTGTGCAGATTTCACTTTCACTTTTATGCACTGGGTTACAGTATTGCTACATTGAATTCAGATGATGTTAGTTTTTTTTTCTGGGCGAATCAAAATTAATTTTTTAAAATTTTGTTTCCCTTTTTTGAACAAAGGAAAAATACAATTGAGACCAAAAAGAGTGAATGTTCAGACTTTTTTTTTTACCTGTAAAAATCTAAATACCAGAAAGGGAAACCGTCTTTGATACGGCAATTTTTGTTTGGTGTAATTATTTCTATTGAAAGGAAGGGAGTGTCCACCTCTCCAGGTCAACTGGGTAATCTTCATCATGTTTGACGATGTATTCGCATCCCTCCGCCAAAGTTTTTGATGTTCATCGATGGTAAGAACTATCAAATCGCCGTTCCTTTCTTTTCTCTTCAAGGATGTGTAAAAGAGTCCAGTGACTCCACATTTCAACCCCTTCAAGCGGACCAAGTCTTACCGAACATACCGACTCCAGATACAACTAAGGGCACCTTTGACCTGTAGTTTTTAAAGTTGCTCTCTTTATAGGATACAATAGTATTTATAGATGCTTTTTCAGTAAAGATAAACATGATACCACTCTACTGGTTTTTAAACTCAAATACCTTGGCATACTTTTCTTTAAAACTCTTTTTTCTTTCCCTTTTCCTTTCAGCTTTCTTCTTCTTAAGATTCTATTGTACTTCTTAGTCCCACCAAGCAATATATCCATCAGCAGCTCTGGTGCCCTTTGCTTTCCTCAATACAAGAAGAACCGGTTTTTTACTGTAGCAGCACTGTAAAAATTGAATAGCGTTTCCAAGTTTTCGCAGATGTAAGCAACATATTGCAAATATTCTTCTGGGCCAAAAGTCCTATTGGTTGGGATCACGCTTTCTATGATGCTAATTCCGTGCTCTTTCTTTAACTTGTTCATTTAAGAGCTGTATTTTGTTGAACCAGCCATGGGATAGTATTCTTTAGTGGTGCATCATCGACCATCACGGTCTAAATCAGCTACTGCACAAAAAAAACGGGGTTTCTTCCGGGGGGGGTCAACTGATATTGGGAGATGTGATTCTTCAACTTCTCGACTACCAAAATCATCAAGTTTGAGATCAATTTGATTAATCTTGGTAGCCATTTCCTTCTGGTCGCTTCGTCTTTTGTAGATCAAAAAAATCGACACTGAGGACGTCCAACCTGACCAAGTTTCCAAACATTTGCTTATTTTTTACATTTGGAATTATACTTTCAATTCTAGAAGTGTGTTTGTTTTAATTATTATGATATCAAGCTTCTTTTTTTTTACTTGTTTGAATTCTCAATGCCTGGAACTGTAATAAATTTTTTAAGAAAAAAACCGAAGTTGTTCGTTGTAACCTCTTGGCAACCTTTCACCAAGAAGAGACACGGATAATGTGTTTACAGACAAAGTTAAAGAACGCCTGTGCAAGGAAAGGGTGGGGAACACACTAAATATTTGTGGAAGAGGCAGTCTCTTCACATCGTACTCGCAGTGGCTGTTATGTTTAGATTCAATTAAAGAAAACAAGCACGGCTGTAAATGAGTGAATCTTCCTGGAGCTTCTGACAGAGTCTTCAGTATTACTCTATTATCTAGAATGTCCCTCAAAAGCTGGCAGAGTCCAACAAATTTCTGTCTGATTATATCGTCATTTATGGTGCTATTTTCTGGCAGCACCGGATCCCCTTGGCAGATAAATTGATAACAGTATCTTACAGCAATATTATGAACGTCGTTTGGATTCATGCTATGCAAGTTTTTTGTTTTTCGTAGCAAACACCTAATATTTGTTTAGCTCTTCATTACTATTTTTACGCATTGACTGCTTTTCTTACCACAAACATGATTTGAATCTGGTACCGAAGATAGCGGATCAATCTATTTTCAAAGGTCTCGATAATTACATTCTAATATGAAGTGATTACCTTTGTACACGCCTCAGCGAGACATTGGCTTGCTCCACCGATTAAAGCTATTTCATAACATGCCCCAGGAGTTGAGACACTAGAGTGCCACTTTTAGGCTTTTTGTTATTAATAAGTTGACAGATGCTGCACCAAAACTGCTGCCTGAAGATAAAACCTGGCACAGATTCGTTGGAATTTTGTAAGAGATGATGATCTACAAACAACTTTGTCCAGTAGATTGAGTGCCTTATTGAATTGCAGCAAGACACATTTATTTATTTATTTTTATTTTAGGATGGCTTTGTATTCTTCTTTAATGCAACTGTTAAAAGGAAGCTTTTGTGTGTAAGCAGTGTAATGATTTCCAAGGTTAAAAGCAAAAGTTTTTTGTTTTCAATAAAGCATAAAAAGAGCATTTAGGTGATCGTGCAGAAGTATGGACCTGGTAGCATGCATCTTAAGCAAACAGCTTCTGCGCCGATCTGTATCTTTTGTCTTTTGGTCTCCTTTTTTTAGCTCTTTTAACCTGTTCTGGTACCAGTTATTATTCAAAATATTAATAACTATACCTTTGTCAATAGTTTCAGGTGTATATATCTATAATAAAGTATTCCTTCTGGCCACAATCAAAGCATGTACCATCTACAATATTATTGCTAACTTTGATCAGAAGCGCGTGTTACTAATACTGTCTCAATGTTTAATTTTAAAGAAAACAAAATAAATCTTAAGCATTCGCATTATACTTTGTACAGTGGACTGAACAATAATCGACTTTTCTTCAAAGTTTATTCTAAAAAAAAAGGTATAAGATATGCATGGTGTTGAATTATCAAACAGTTCTTAAGATCACCAAGGGCACTACAATATATTTACCTTGAAGACCCTTTGTTCTTGAATGCCTTACATATTGCATTCATGTTTATCGTGCTTTGACTATGTTTTGTCTTCCAGTACAATACAATACATTGGAATGTAATTGGTAGCCTTTTTTTTTGAAAAGAAAAGAAAAGATGCATCCTTTTATTTCTTAAAGACGGTAAATGGAAACTGATGGGGCTATTTAAACATGATTCCTTCTTATTTATGTATTATTATTTTTGGCATCCTATATGAAATTTACAAAGTTAGAAAGCCCAGGTTTTTTTTTCTTACTCAATCTTGGTATTTAACTCATCTCAACTCGTATTCACGTGCTGATTGGAGTGAGGTTAATAAGTACTAGTCTATCATATAAAAAATAAGTATCTGAAATATGTGTATATATATATATTTTAGATCTTTGTAAGCATAGTAACTAATAGTTGATGTCTATCTTTAGCTTTAAAGAAAATAAAATGACTTTAAAAGACATTTATCTTGGGAAGTTTGTCCAGCTGCTGGATATACCTGTTGCTAAGAAAAAACAAGACTTTGGCTTCTTAGGATACCGAAACAATGTCTCGATCAACTAAAAGGGTGAATCTGAATACGGCCATAAAATTGATTTGATAGCAAAATAAATCTCTTCCTGGGCAACACAGTCACTCACATGGACTACTTTAACTTTTCTAAAAAAAAATCGTATAAATATATGTTACAGATATTTAGTTTTGCTGGCTGCTTTGGTGCATACAAAGATGGTTCATTTACAGTCTGAAAGGATAAAGCACGCCAGTTATAGTATATCAAAAAAAAGAAATGTAGGCCGCAAATGACTATTTTTACCATTATTGTGCAATCAAGCATACAAAAGCTTCTTGACAAGTTAAAGCAGTGGGTAAATAGACACACACATATATAAATGTGTGGGGTTTCTTGCCTTCGTTCATTCATTCATAAATATATTCTTTTTTATATATTATTTAATGTAAAGAGTAGTCCAAGCTAATTCTTGACAGACCTAGACGTTAACGTTTCAGTCAAACCATTTACAAAAACAACCTAGCTAGCACCCTTTTTTTTAAAAAAAATAATATCTATAATCTAATATTGTTTTAGGGAATTCAACCTGGGAAAGTATTCTTGTGCTCAACCCGAAAAATTCCCTAACCATAATCTCCAGTACAAGAAAGAACCAAAAATATATATATATTATATATTATATATTCCTATTGCTGGTATTAAACTACGGTATTTTGACTTTGACCTCTTTAGGAGATTCATGTAACAGCATATGTAATATAAAAGAAAGAAATAATAATACAATTCTTCAAAAATGCATGACAATAATTTCAACTTTAATAAATACTAAAATTGTGTGCAACTTTGGCAATATATTGTGTTGAATTAATTCAATTTAATAAGTTTATTGTGTATGTATGTGTATATATACATAGATAGAGAAATAATGAAAAAGCAGGTAAAACAAGAATTCACGGTGTGTATATGTATTTGTACAATGAAATGAAGAGAGAAGAGAAACATAGGTATAATCTCTTTTCGGTAAGGGAAGAAAGAAAAAAAAAAGGAAGAAGCTCTATTCTATTCTAAATATAATGAATTTAATAATAAGGACAGTAAAGTTGATTGTTACAGAGTAACATAAAAAAAAAGGGCATACAACAAGATAAGATGAAGTCAAGTTAAATTAAGTTCCAAGCCAAACCAAGTTTCGTTTTTTTTTTCTTTAAAAAAAAAAAGAAACAAAAGAATGGAGGCGTAAGTAAGTAAGTACATTGTAGTTGTAGTCAAGAATGTTAAGATAGCCACAGCCTCTTTGTGTCAAACAAACATAAGCCAAGTAGGTAGTTGTGCAGTGGCCGGTGATTAGGTTTCTTGGGAATCAATTCGTTGAGATAAAAGCCATTGGGTGGGAACTCCATCCTGGAAACCCTGTCATCTTTGGTATTCTCGGATGAACGGCTGTCAAACGTCGCGGGCTCATCGAATGAAAAGGGGTGCCCAGGATTATTGTGCTCCAACCCCGACCCCACATGAGGCCATGTCAAAAGATGTTGGGATTGTGTATGGCTTGAAAGTTCTAGTTCTAGTTCATTTTCATGTTCATGATCATGAGCACGTTGCTATAATAATGATAATAATGATAACAAAATGAAATGATATATGATTAGACAACTGTTTTCTTCTTGCTTTCATTATTGCCTTATATTGTATCTTACAGCAATTTAATATTGACCAATGTCTTACCATATAGCAACCTTTTCCTTTGGAAATTGCCCGGTCGAAATTGCGCCTTGTCCTCGTGGTCGTCTGGTTCATCAGGTAAGGGTTTCTCGGCCGTTCTTTGTCTTTTGTCAATAAGAATAATAATAATAATGGCCAGCCAAGTATGTTATTCTTCATTGGCTCCTCGCACAAGTTTTTGAATGACCGACTCGGACTTTCTGGGACGTGCAACTTCCAGGCTCCTGGCATGCCGCTTTCGGGACAGATAGTTTGTGGTTGGGATGGTGATTGTGGTTGTCCTGACGACAGTTTATAGATTTCATCTAAAGACACTCTTTGTTCTTGTTCTGGTAAACAATGTTCTGTGTTGTCTTTTGTAGAAGTATGAACATTTTGGAGAGGTGTCCATGTTTCCGTGGGCACTTTTGATTCTAGAATTGAGGGTACAATGGTTGCGGCAGAATACAAATCTTCTTTTCTTTTGTGGAATAATAAGATTAACGATGATGGTGAATATGATAGATCAGGTAAGCGAATGTCACCATCAAAAGAGAGTTTGGTGGAATGTGTGAGACCCTTGGATGACCCGACTCCTTTCTGAGCTGACGTGAAGATCTCACAGGATTTCAAGATACTTTTTTTAGCGAAGCAGACTTTAGTAGATTGCTTGAACAAAGAACCCCGTTTAGATTGATGTCGATACTGATAGTAGGTAGAATAGTTATAGGATGCTGAGGATGGTAATTCATTATAGACTCGACTTCGATCTACTCGTGATTTCAATTGAATATCCGAGCGGTCTTTTGGATGCTCGATCGATTCCCAGGTGCTTCTATTGTGATTGTGCCTTTCGTGGATTGTCTGTGTGAAAGAATAAAATAAGAAATGGTTAGAAATTACAAGACACAATTTATTCGTTATTAAGAAGAAAGAAGAATAACTTACGTGTAGATCTGTCTCTAGTTCAAGTACACGATTCTCTAGTTCGGAAATGATATCCTGACATTGTGACAGAAGTGAAAAGACTTGATCGTCTGTGATTCCAAAAGGTCCGACCACATTGGTAGTTTCTTGGAATTCGGTGTTTGTAAAAGACAAATCTTGGTCTTGTTGGTGGTATTGCTGGTTGTTGTGGTTGATATGGAGGAGTGGAGGGTTGACAAGACTGTCGTTCATTGTACAGATAGTTTTTTTTGGAGTAGAAGATGCGAATGTGATTTGTGTGCAAAATAAGCTAAATAAAACCGTATGTTATTTGATATATTGACGGGAATTGATATTACTAGAGAAAGATAAATAGCAGAAACCAAAAGAAACAAGAGAGACAAGAGAGGCAAGAAGAATAAGTATATATACAGACAAAGAAATCTATATTTAATATACAACAGCAACTAAGAATAAAGATAAAGAAAGCCAAAGAAAGAAATTGAGCAAATTAAGAATAATCTAAAGGTAAAGGTAAAGGTAAAGAAGATCATTTTATTGTGCTTTATATTTTTATATATGTATGGATGCTTTAACTTTAAAAGAAGTCTTTTGATGCTATTCATTTCTCCTGATAAAGACAATAGTAACAATAAGAATCATCATCATCATAATAATGGAATGTGCAGTAATCATAATGATGAAGAGGTCAATCAAAAGACAATAGCATCTGGATATATGAGGAAATTATCTTGTTTATTTTCAGTCTGCTGGTGGCGGCGATGGTTGTGCTTAACAGCGGCAACTGTAAATATAAATATCTACATTTATGTACATTTATATACATAAAGTTTCCTTTTCTTTTCTTTTCTTTTCTTTTTGTAATAAAGAGTATGAGAATATGTACGTTGTGTCTTATCAAGTGTTCAAATTACACATAAAGTATGAGACCTAAAATAAAAGATAAAACCGCAACTAGAATAATAACCACAATCATTCTATATAGTGTTATTCCTTTTTGGCTGTTTCTTTACTTAATACGTCTTATAAAACAAGGCAACAGCAACATCAACAGCAAATGATCAATGTTTTGTGATGTCACTTACTCAAATAAGAGCATGTCAGATCCAAATACACTTTTCATTCCCCTTTACACATCTTTACATCTTTACCTATATATTATATATACAGAGAGAAAAGAGAAAAAAAAAGATACATTATCTATTTAAGGGAATCTAGCACGATTTCTCAAAGCACACAGATAATTATATATATATATATATATATATAGTAGATAGGATAGGATGTGATACTCATCAGTAGCACAAAATTAAAAAAAAAAAGAAAAGGACCGAATTTTGATCAAACATGGTAAAGCGATCTCTAGCCCGGTCCGGACAGTTGTCCAACAAAGAACAAAAAGAAGAAGAAGAAAATAGGTAGCAAAAATAAAGAGAGTATATGATTGCATGCACAGCATCATTTCTGCATCACTCTCATTTACCTCCACATGTCTGTACATATGTCTATATTATATGTCGATACGTCTTTATGTGGACGTTTAAGCCTAATCATAAGCCCTAGTCTAAAGCTAAGGCCAAGACTAAGCCTATGCCTATGCCTATGCCTATGTCTGTACACATGCACATCTCTGCACACTTCTGCACGCCTACGTGTGAACGTGGGTTTGACTCATTCTTTCGATACATACGCATAAATATGCATAAATACATGCATACATACATGCATATTATACGTACTTTGTTTCCTTTTGATTTGAAACACGAAAAGTTACAGACGTCTTGTTCTTTGAAAAAACATTTTGACAATCTGTGGTAAGAGACACGATTATAGGTACTGATAATCAAAGAGAATGAACCTGTCGATCTTTCTACATTACACCTAACATTGGCTTATCTTTGGCTTTGGTTAAAGACCAAATGATATAAATTATTGTACTGTGGCTTCAATATAACTTTCTCTCTTTTTCTTTTTCCCTATTTCAGTCAGAAAATACACAAGCACAGATATGTATATCATAAAGAGCAATTGATGATAACACACCTTTAGAGATATTTACAAAATAGTAAATCAAATGTTGAATACAGAAAAATCTATAGCAAAAATGGAGAAGAGACAAGTTGACTGCAAGATTGTCTCATTTTCAAATATATAATATATAAAATATAGTATGACAAGACTATTACTGTGTACAACAGTCCTGCAATTTATTGACCTCTTTTTTTTTCTTTTTTTTTCCTTTATATTATTATTATCCTTTTGGGTTGCCCACCAGATAGATATTATCACTACGCTCACTAGATTTTACTGCTACTGCCTGCTACTGCCTACTACTGCTATTTCTTTTTTGGTTCGATTAATTGAATATATGGCACAAGTCAAAAAATCGCAATTGCTCAGTATATCTAATAGAAGCTCACTTTTTATATTGCTCTATTGAACTCTTAATATACATATAGCACAATTATTGGCAAGATAAAGGAAGAAGAGGTAGATTGAGTTTGGTCCAAGGCCCAAAATATTTATATTTGTTGGCTATTTATTATCAGATGTAGTTCGAGCAAAGTTGAAAACCGTACTCCGAAAGTCCCCAGCTCGAACCGGGAATACAGTCTCTCCGGTCCCACTTGGCAGGTCATTGAAATCATAGTTTTGGAACAAAAAAAAAAAAAAAGAAAAAAGAAACTCAAGTGTAGCACTTGCACAGAATTAAAGAGGTGTGTCATCGGGGAAAAGGGAAGTTGTGGTTGAGGTAGTCGGGGATAGATAGATGTGTAACAAAGCCTTCGTTTTTCCCAGTTTATGTATCTGTGATGTATAAACAGCTGTACATTATTAATCTATTAGCATGGTATTTAAGTTAATTCAGCCTTTGAAAGGTACCAATTGAACATTTGGATACTTGAATGGGTTAATGTATTTAGTAAAGACAATATTACCAACTTGGGAGGGGGGCAAAATTCTGGCTCTAATGATGACTTTTTGGACATGGAAAATAGTACTTCTTTTGTAATGCTGAGGTACTACAAGAATAATAATAATGATAATAAAAGAAGTAGGAAGCAAAGAATGGGTTGGTCGATCTTGACGGGCTATAGAGCTATTATGATACGAGAGGGGAGAAAGATAAAAATAATAATACGATGGTAACCCTTGGGTGGTTCGAGTCTTCTTTTTCCATTTTATTTTTGTACCTTCGGGAAATCTCTGTAGGACAAGATTGAGTGTCAGCATATGAAGTGGGTTCTTCTCCGACCTCTTTTGTTTTTATTTATTTATTTATATAGATAGATAGATAGAATAAAAATATACCTGGCTTATCTTGTCTCATATGTTTTCTTATTTAATAGCAAAAATCAAAAATCAAAAATATATAATCTCAATTGACTTTTGTTCCTTCTCTCTTTCTTCCTTTCATCTAAACCTCAATTTTCCCTAAAGATAACCATGAAGTCCATTCTCTACACCATCGCTGCCTTTGCCATTGCCATGGCCTCTGCTGAGAACATCATCAGTGTCACCTCTCCCCTCACTGGCACTGTCTACACTGCCGGTACCAGTGTCATCATCAGCTGGTAAACATCTCTTTATTGTACGAATCTATCTACAGACCATTAATCTATTTGTTTTTTTAAAAAAATTAGGGTCAACCCCACTGTCGACACCATCTCCAAGATTGTCCTCGCTCAGGGTGCTGCCACTGCCCTCCAGCCCGTCCTCAATGTCGCCGAGAACGTCCCTGCCACCACCAACTCCTACACCTGGGCCATCCCTGCTGATATCACCCCCGGAGACTGTAAGTATTCTCGAGATACAACACAAACCATCAATTCAACAATTTTACTTAATATCTATACTTTTATCCTCTGAAGATGCTCTTGAGTTCGGTACCTCTCCTGACTTGAGCTACACTGGCCAGTTCTCCATCAAGGCTCCCGCTGCTGCTGGTAAGATCAGTTTATTTATTTATTTTTGGCTTGGCTTGGCTTGGCTTGGCTTGGCTTGTTTCTTTTTATTTTTATTTTTATTTTTATTTATTCTTATTGTTTTATTTGATTAGCCACCTCCGGCCCTGCTGAATCCTCTTCCGCTGCCGAGTCCTCTGCTGAATCCTCTTCCGCCGCTGAGTCCTCTGCTGCCGAGTCTTCTGCTGCTGCCGAGTCCTCTGCTGCCGAGTCCTCTGCTGCCGAGTCTTCTGCTGCTGTCGAATCCTCTGCCGCACCCACCTCCTCTGCTGCCCCTGTCTCCTCTGCCGCTTCCGTTGTCTCCGTTGCCGCTTCCTCTGTTGCTGCCGTCAGCTCCAAGGCCCCTGCTGCTGCCTCCTCCTCTGCCGCTGCCCCCGCTGACAGCGCTGCCTTCAAGCTTTCTGCCAACACTGTCGGTGCCATGGCTCTTGTTGGTGCTGCCGCTGCTGCCTTGCTTTAAAAAAAAATTATATATACTATATATAAATACAACAAATAATCTCTTATTTTAATCCTCTTCCCTTTTTTAACTATCTACTTTATCTATCTCTACCTCTTTATTTTTACTTATCTATTTTCATCTTCTTTTATACTTGGCATTTAAAACCTTTAAACTAAACTGGTCCTTTTTTTTTTTCTCTCTTCTTCCCCCTTTTATACTTCAATTAATAATAATAATAATTTTTTTGACCAAATGAAATGAAATGAAAACGCGTTTAAAAACAAATAGCAACTGTTGTTATAGTTATAAATTCTACACATTAATGCAAACACTATACTCATTACAACAATTGGATAATTAGACAATATAATTAATTTGTTAATAAATTTCTGGCTAAACTCAAGGCCCGTTTTGTGCGTGTGTATGTATTTTTATATATAAATATATATATATTTTAACTGAGCCCTAAAAAAGAAGTAGTTTGGGATCCGGTAGTTCTTTTTTGTTTTTGTCTATATATACAATTTTGAGCCAAGATTTAGCTTGGCATTATAGTTTTGTGTGGAGTTCTATTGTGCTTTGATGGATTTTTTTTTCTTATTCGTATTTACTAACCTAATCAGTTTCAATTCAAAGAAACCGGGATTTTGGCTTTTGTGTGCCTGAGAAGCAAGAGAGAAAAAAAGAAAGAATGGTATTTTAAGAAGAAAACGTTGTATCACCTACCACCTACCTATGGCCTATAGGATTGCTATTAGGCCAGGAAACAAATGGAGGGCCGTGCGTCTACAACGAACGCTTTTAATGAATACGCCAGATTACCAATATAAATGAAATTAAAGGGCAAATGTGTATATCTATATCTATTCTTTAATGAGGCCCAAAGATGACACCATATTACACAAGGCTGTCAAAATAATAATAATAATAATAATACAAATAACAAGAGAAAAAAAAAAGATATTATAATATTTGTCACTGATTAGGCGCAGATACAAACCCCGGGACCATTGTATACTAAATGTTAGCAACAAATGGACGACCCCTCAATAAACATGATTATTATTGATGATTGAAATAACTCGGGTAATTTGATAAATATACATATATTTTGGCAACATCTTCAAATATAAAAAAGCAAATTTATATTACCAAACAATAATACAGTCAATCACTCTTCCCCTAATATTTGAATAGAGAAATGAAGATCGCTAAAGAAGATGAACATACAAATCCAAGTCTAAAGTATATAGATGCGTTATTCTTACTACAAAAGACTTGCAATTACTTTTGTTAGTTAAATACTCAGCGTATTATAACAACCATCTTATATTCTCAGTCTGAAAGCCCAAGTTGGGAATATGTCAACTTTTTTTTTTCAACTTTGTGTGCTAATCAAAGCAAAAATCTTCTCGTATTCAAACCAGAATACCAAAACAAAGATATATAGAAAAGTCCTTCTAGTAAAGCAATCAATAGAGCCGTGACTCAGCTATGTAATAATTTCAAGGATCAAGTTTCAAAGAAACCGACACCAACTGACAGTATACTGACGCCCGAAACTACAAACCAAATTCAGAGCTTCATCTCAATCTATATTATATATACATATCACCACATCAAAGCCAACTCTCCAAATCCATTTTAAAGCGTCCTACAATCTCGCTAAGCTATGCCTGCAGCATTCGGAAACACAAGGAAAGTGTGTTTTAATGGACCCCAATAGACAAGTTCAGTGGAGGATGTGCGTTTGGTCGAAACTATCCTTTGCAAAGCAAGATAATCAGCCGTCAGTTCCTTGCCATTTGTTGAATATAAAGACCTAGTTTATGATTATTAGAGCAAAGACTTCACTATAAGAGAGGGGAACAATCTGTATTGGGGACATTTATTTGTTGCACACTATACTGGAATATCCCCAAAAAATCTCAATGCTCATCAAGAGAGGTGTATTACAAGCATAACGACGCAAAATCTGGCTCTGATTGCGCCCTGATCCTTGACGATTGGTCGGCTCCGACAGACAAATCCCATAAACATATTAGAAGGCAAGGGTCTAATCAAGATACTGAATAAAAAAAATGGTTTTAGAATTCTCTTGATCAGCAAGTACAAAGCGTCTACTATATGTCCTGGCTGTGAGGGAAACTTGAAAAAAATATGCATATTTTGAACCCAAGACCGTTTAGAAGAAAGGAAACTCTAAAAATTCCCATGTAATAGACTACTTAAAATGCACAAATCACACCCCTTCCAAAATTTGGAATCGAGATCTCGCTTTTGTATGTAGCTTCAGAAAGATCTTATGTCAGTTACGAAGTATTGGCTGCTGTCCAGCTTGCCTTAGTCGCTCCAGTGATTCTAGTTCCAAAGCAGGCTTCAAAAGAAGAACAAATGACCCCTCCTTAAAAAAAAACAAAACAAATATTCCGCTTGAGTTATCGCTCCAGCAATTTAATGCAGGTAAGATACAGTGAAACACATTCGTGAGGTGCATATTTTCAAATTGTGCGCCTTGCATAGTGTGTTTCAGTGTACGGAATATCCGGTCCAGAGTATGATTTTGTCATCTTCTTTTGCATCCGTGCGTAAGCAGTAATATATATATATATATATGTAATGTCAGTCTATATGTACAGCTGAAGACAGGCAACTTAACCCATATGGAATATAATTATAGTTATATACAAATCCTCTTCTTCTCAGTATTACTGTTAAGCAGTTCAAGGCAACTAAAGAGAAAAATATTCTTTATACCAATACGTTCATATCTATATATGATGTGTATGCAATAAATTGCTTTTCATTGTCTACCAAAAAGGAAACAAGAGAGAGAAAGAAAGAAAAGAATGAAATGGAAATCCCTATGTGACCTGTTTTTATTTATATATATTATATTTTATATCCTAATGAAGATGAGGGGGGGGGGGGGTTTTTAAAAAAAAGACCCTGATACAAGTCTGACGTTACTTTCTTTATGCATGCACCAATTGACGATACCACATGGAAACAATACTTGAGCTCTCGTCTGATAACCGAGGGTCCAACTGAAGCGAAGAAAAGGCACGAATAACCCCTCCTTACACTACCTCCAAAACGCAACTCTTTAACATAAAAAGAAGAAGAGAATGTTCTTTTGGCCTTCATCACTGTCTCTTTGGCTCCTTTCTTTCTTTTTTCTTCTTCTTCTGACATTGGCAATTACCATCTCTTATATTCAAAATTATATACTATTATTATTATTGGGGTTTTCTTTCTTTTTTTTTTAGAGAGAATGTCATGAGCCTTCTCAAGTCATTACTGATTCCTTTTTCAGAACAGTATGCTAACAAACAAAGACTCCGAGCAGTTCCAGTCTGTCAGATTCTACCATTTGGGTCTTATAGTCTAGGTGGTCATCTAGCAAATGCCGACATCGATGTTGTGTGTCTAGCCCCATCCACAGTAAAAAGACGCGAGTTTTTTTACATATTTGCAAACCTATTACGCAAGAGCCACTTGGTTAAAGGAATCGAAGTATACAATATAATCCAATAATAAGAAGCCTAGTTCAAGTTGCATTAATGCTAGTATTAGTATTCTGTATATATATATACAAAGATATAATAATAATATTCTTTTTTGTCTTGGACTAGGTTGTTGAGCGTACTGCTGTACCTATCATAAAGTGTTCAATTGACTCCATCATGGTGAGAAAGAAATAAAGAAGAAGAAGAAAAAAATGATAATGAAATTGATTTATTGATATATCAATATTTGTTATTTTGAATAGACAGACATATCATTTGTGTCATTGAAACAACCTAGTATACCTCCAAATATCAAACTATTGGACGATGGATACCTTGAAGGTTTAGATAGTGTTTGTCTAGCTAGCATGGATGGTGAGTATACAAATGAACAATTTAATGTTATGTTCTTGCCTATTAACTCACATACAATACTTAACAAAGGTCCAAGAGTCAACCAATTCATTTTGTCAAAAGTGGATCTGCAACACAAACAAGTTTTCCAACAAGCAATGCAAGCAATAAAACATTGGGCTACACAACGATGCATGTATGGAAAACCTATGGGCTATCTCAATGGTGGAACATGGACACTCTTGCTCTTAAAGACATACACACAAGCATCTCCCGAATCTCTGACAACCCACGGGTTATTGCAAGCATTTTTCTGTATGTGGGCCGAATGGCCATGGCCCGTTCCTGTCATGGTTACAGATGGTATACCCGACAAGAGAGGACAAACTATTCCCTACAAGTCACTCGTAAGTATGAATTACATACATATATTGCTATTAGTATTATTCTTATTCTTGTCATTTCTGATAGCCCGAGTCAGAAACTGCCGTTATGCCCATCATCACACCTTGTTATCCTGTTAGTTTCTCAGCTCCATTCACCACACTGTCTACCTTGAAAGTCATGACTAAGGAATTCAAAAGGGGTTAGGATAGATAATAATATAGTGTTATATATTTTACTAACTGACTAACTGACTAACTTTGTGCTAATTATCAAAATAGCATCTCTCATTCTAGATTCCTATTTTGATCAATCTGAATCCATGCTTGACAAGTTATTTTCCGAATTTGATATCATAAGACCATACAAACATTTCTTAAAAGTAGTTGTGAGTTGCGAGACTCAAAAGAGTCATGAAACATGGTGAGAACTATTTCTCTTTTCTATTTCATTTTTTTTTCTTACTATATCTTTTGTGAAATAGGATTCGTAAAATGGCTGTTGCTATTCCTAGATTTGTCACTATGCTTGAGCAAGTAGACGACATTATTACAATACATCCCTTGACTAGGCCAGTTAAGCGGATTCAGAATTACAAGAGCATTTATGAAAAAAATGCATTGAGAGCAGGGGAGGACTCTGATGTTGCGAGAGAGCAATCGTTTGCAACAGCCCTTTCTCCTGGTGTGTTACTTATGACCTGGTACATTATTGGGCTAGAGGTGAAAATACCTAAAAGTAAGTTCCCACTGACAATTTACTTGAATATGTAAAGAAAGACAAGTGAAAGAGGTTCAAATATATATACAGATAAATGTATGCGTGTGTATATGTGTTTGTAAGCTGACAATAGCTATTAATTGATTAATTGATTAATTGATTTGCTTGTTTGTTGTAGATGAAGATCGTGTATTGGATATATGTTCAGAGGTAGACGACTTTATACGTACAATTGACGAAAAGCGAAACAGTAAGGATATAGATATGACCGTTTCCGTGGTTTCTATGAAAAGGTAATGTGGTGTAGAATCAAAAGAAATAAGGAAAAGAAGTATTTCATATTAGCCTGCCTGATAAGATTTTTTTAATTTTCTTTTTAAATTTTAACAGGAGAGAGACAGCAAGCCTTTTATATTAACTCGTCAAAGATATATATATATATATATATTAAGCTTACTTTTGTCAATTTGGTTTGATTTGATTTGAAGATGTAGATGTAGATGTAGATGTAGATTTAGATGTAGATTATTATTAATTATCCGTTATTTATTATAGCATCAAATCCTTTCTTTCTTTCTTTCTTTCTTATATTTTTATTATTCTTTCAACCTCTTGCTTTTGCTTCTTTTTCTTTTTTTTTGGTGCTTTCTAAGAAGATAATAACAATACTGTCAAATTACAGTTACACTATTACTATCTAATTTTTTTTTTCAAGAAAGAAAAGCCTTTTCTGAAACCCCCCATTAAATAACATATATTCTAACTTTTTAACTTTTTAACGTCTATGTAATCTATGTAGTCTATTCAGCTTCTATATCTAATTATATATTAATTGTTTTATATTCTCTTGATAGATCCAGTCCCGTCTTTTTCAATTGTATCAACAGTGTCAACAAACCCGACCAGCAGATACCTCTGGCCTCGGGTGATATCCACACCACGATGCATTATGTGGGCACCATGGAATACACAATCTCCTTGTTCTGAAGCCATGGTCTGGTCGGTTGGTTGGAAGTAAGTACCCCCACCATCAAACTCGTCCTTTGGGTTTATGAGCACATTAAAAGAAAGCAGACAGCCGTCAGTATGAAGCTTCAGGCCGGCTTGTGCGTCTGCACTGTACTTGACTACAAATATGTCTCGGAACTCAAGATCACGTGTGGGGTGGAATCCATAGTGGTTTGCCATGACAGGAATCAGGCGATCACGCACTTGATCGATCAGGTAATCAAACCGACTGTTTCGTATCGGAATGTCAGTAGTTGCAAATGCCGAATGTCGAGCAGTATTCCAGTCTGAGCAGCTCATTTCCTTACAACCCTCCAGGATCCGATTGCATTCCTCGAGAGAAAAGAGTCGACGGAGACGGTTTGGTACGGTGAACTGGGAATGTCGTTTGTGGTGGAATATAAGTCTGTTTTCTGCCATTGTGCGTTTTCGAGGATCATGATCGAGGCTTGCAATCATACATTGTTGGTCATGTTGGAACTTTTGGGTCCTTTCTTGAAGAGCTGATTTCTCTTCTGCGGTGATCTCTCCAAAGAGGTCAAACTCACTATCATCGAGTGCTGTCATTGTTAAAGCGGGTTTATAAATAAGCAAACTAGCCAAGCTAAATAAATAAGTAGAATAGAATAAAATAAAATATTCCATGATTTAAAAAAAAAAAAAAACCAAAAAACCTTTAAAGTAATACTGATAATATTATTATTATTGTTATAATTGATAGTTCAATTGCTTATATTGTTTATAGCCAATAAGCAAAATTGTATATAAGCAATAGATATTTTTGAGCTATAAAGGGTACAATATAGGATCTTTGATTATTGCAAGGCAACAACAAAAGAAACAAGAAGTATAATAGATATATTTCACAGTCATTTTTGTGGTTACAATTTTTTATTTTTTATTTTTTTACTGTATGCGTGTGTTTCTGTAACCGATCATGTAAGACTGATCTACAAAGTGGACGATCCCTGTGATTATCAAGCAAAATATCTAAAATGAAAATAAAATCCCAAAAAAAAATAAACACAAAGATTACACAAGATGATGCTATGCAAAGTATATACTTGCAACACTTTATGCCAAAAATGTACATATAATATAATATATACATTATATATTATCTCCTCCTAGCTCCCCCCCTTCTCTCTCTCTATCTTTCTGTCTCCATCTATATCTAAAAAAAAACCCACCCCCAAAAAAGGGACGGTCCTTTTAATTGCCTACTTGCTTAGTAACTGGCTTGTTCGTTTGTTCGTTTGTTCGTTTGTCCACATCTCTCTCTCTTTTATTGTCTCATCTACAATTCCGAAAATGAGAGAACGACGATCAAGTGTGGTTGAATCACTCGATCCCCTCATTGAGCTTACTAGTCATGACCCACAACCCACTCGTACCTACAGTCTCGATTATATATTTGTCAAACGCTTCTTTCGTCTTGTCCGCCTACTGTTTCGTCCACCTGGAAACACCTATCGCTTCTGGTCAACCCACAGAGAAGCTCAACAGAAAAGCATATTCTGGCTCTATTGTACATTTATCTTTGGATCTTGTGGAAAAGAGGTCCTGGTTTATTTTGTAGGCCTGATGCCAAGTCGATTCTACAGCCTCCTTACATCCAAGGATTTGACGGGCTTTATAGCATACATGTTTCCTTGTTTTTTCTTGGTGTTTGGAATCGCCATTGTATGAATTTTTTTTATTATTATTATTATTCTAGGTCTACCTTGATATTTAGGCAGCTTTCCTAACATCATTGTTCTTGCTTTTCCGTTGCTGTCTTGAATATGTATTAATCGAATTTTATTTTATTTTGTTATTTAGAGTTTGAGCATACTAAACTTTATGGGCGGCCTGCTTGCTTTGAAAGTAAGACGGTTGCTAACAGAGCATTTGCAAGACCGCTACGTTAAACCCAAGGCAATGTATACTCTCGTGCTCAATCATGAGTCGGTCGACAACCCGTGAGTACACACACGTACAAGCACACACACACACACACACACACACACACTTAGAATTAAAATGGTCTTTTGGATTACAAGAAGAAAGAAAGAAAGCTGATCTTTAGGGTGGATGAAAATTTAGTGACCAGCGGATCACTCAGGACATCGACAAACTTTCTGAATCTCTACGTGAAATCGTCTCGACCTTAATCATTGCTCCACTTCTGGTCGCCTACTACACCTGGAAGTGTTGGGATGTCAGTGGATTCATAGGTCCGGCGATGATATACGTCTACTTTATCCTTGGCACTATTATCAGTCGCAGATTGATTAAGCCCATTGTCAATTCAGTGTTTTACAAGGAGCTCCATGAAGGAAATTTTAGGTATGTATGTGTATGATCACAATTTTATTGTTGTTGTTGTTGATGATGATGATAAACATGTGGCTTTCTAGATTCCTTCACGTACGTCTGAGACAGTATGTTGAGTCAATTGCATTCAGTAGTGGCGAAATTGAAGAGAACGCAAGGGCGCATAATTCTCTGAGTACATTGCTTACCTACCAAAGATCAATTATCAACAAGAGCTTCCCATTGAACTGCAAGTATTAACTATTGACCTTTTGCTATTTTTTTTCTTTAAAAAAATAGCAAAAGGAAAAGGAGGTTTATCATTATTATCATCTTTATGGGTTTAATCTAATCTAATTCATTCATTCATTCATTCATTTAATTTTAATCACAATACAGTTGCCAATAGCTCGTTTGCTTATATAGGATCTATTCTCTCTTACATGATTGTTGCTATTCCTATATTTACTGGTGTATTTGATGACAAGGATCCCGGAGAATTGAGTTCGATAATTAGCAAGGTATGTATGTGGGCATGTGCGTATGGCATGCATGTAGTTTATGTGCTTAGATTAATTTTTTTGTTTCTTTTTTTTACTGTGCAATGTATGTAAATGCATTTGCTTAACATAACGTTCAACTAAAGATTCCAATTTTTTTTACTGCTATGCAAAAACAAAAAACAAAACACCGTAGAATTCGTTTGTATCGATGTATCTTATATACCAATTCACTGTCATAATTGAACAATCCGGAAAATTGTCCGATCTTGCTGGTTATACAGCACGTGTGGTTGAACTACTGGAAGCCATGGATAATGTTGACAATGAGATTGAGAATATTGAAATCGATTATCCTTACAGAGAAGATGACCAGAGGTATTTTCTTTTTCTTTTTTTCATCTTCTTTTTAATATATATATATTATATACTAACCAAAAATATTTACACGCATCAGTGAGACCATTGAATTTGAAAACGTGAGTCTATTGTCCCCGCGTTCAAAGGTTGTTGTGTTGGGATTCAATCTCAAGATCAACAAAGGAGATCACATAGTATTGACAGGACCCAATGGTAAGAAATTACAAACCTTTAGTATTTTGTGAAAGATAAAAACGCAGAAAAAGGGGTATTAAAAATTATATATATATATATATATATATACAAACTTTTTGTATGATTTGATAGGGTGTGGTAAAACTTCGATACTAAGAGCACTTGCTGGATTATGGCCTTGTACTAAAGGTAAGCTTATTCATACCAAACTGCTATCTGATTGTATGTACACTAATATATATGTATATATGTATATATATACAATTTCTAGGGCGTGTTCATGTTCCAAAAATGAAACATGGAAAGGATATAATTTTTTTACCTCAAGTACCGTATCTTGTTCATGGATCATTACGTGACCAGATTAGTTACCCAAGCATTGCATCAACTATCTACAGTAAGCAAAATTAATTAAAATAATTGATGTTTCCCTTTTGTTAATTTAATCAAATATAATATGAGTTGCCTTTATATTTGCATTTGTGTCTAAGTTTAAACAATCCACAACGGAGATGTGTACTTACTAACCGGCTGACTCTATAGTATCTGACCAAGAAATCAGGTCTTTATTGCAACAAGTGCACTTGAGTCATCTGGAGGGGCTGATCGAATCATTTGATCACGCATACGCCCAAGAATGGAATAAGATGCTGTCCCCTGGGGAGCAGCAGCGCCTAATGTTTGCACGCATCTTTTATTGGAAGCCTCGTTTTGCCGGTAATTAACCTTCTTTATTTCTTACACTCACAATCATACTCATATACGTATTGTTTATTTAAATCTGTATAGTGCTTGATGAAGCAACAAGTACAATGGATACTGCAACAGAAGATCATCTCTACAGTCTAACTAAAGAGTTCGGCATTACGCTTATAAGTGTAAGTCATCATCCCAGTGTCTATCGTTTTCACAAGCGGCATGTTGCTCTAGATGGTCATGGCAACTACACCATTGGAGATATCCCAGATTTACCCGCGTAAAGAAGTTTACACGCATTATAGATAGAAACTATAGCACACCCTTTTTCTTTTCTTATCAATTATATAACAGTTATTGCCATTGCCATTGCCATTACCAACACCAATGCCATATTAGCTACTGAATCCAAATAAACAACCCTTCTCTTTCTTCATATATGTATTTGTATAATCACAAATGAAGTGTCATAATTGAGTATTTGATCAGCTTGGCAGTAACATCAACAACAAAAGGACTTGAATAATTAAATTAATTAAATTAAATTAAATAAATAAAATAAAGTAAGAGCGCGGATATGATTGATTTACCCTCGCCGTTCACATTTTTGGTTTTGGTTAAGCGATTGTGTGCCTTTCGTTTATAGTACAAAAGAGAGAAACATTGATTGATTGATTGATTGAGTGATATTGTTACTGAATTGTGAATATAAGCTAGATCAATTGTTCACAGATTGGATCAAGGTGATATTGTCGCCTTTGAGCATAACTCGGCCTAAGAAAAAAAAAAGCAAGCAAGCAAAGGATAGTAAATATACAATAGATCCAATAAATCAAAATAATAACAATAATAATAATAATAATATTAATATTAATAGGCAATATTCTTACCAACACTTCTTCGAGTCTTCTCTTTTGTCATCACTTCCTCTGCATCATCAAGGACAAGGTTCATAAATTCATCAAAGCCCTAATAAAATGAAGAAGAAAAAGAAAAAGACATGCATTATACACATCTCTCATTATTACAACGAAATTATCACACTTTTTTTCTTTCTTTCTTTCTTTTAAAAATAAATAGAAAATAAATAAAGTTGTTTATGAACTTGCAATGATTTGTCCTTCGATTCTCATGTCAGACTTGTCAAAAAGCCAGATCTGCACTCTCGATTTCTAAATTTAAAATGTAGATTTCGTTGGTATCTTCAGAATAATTTCGTATGTATTTGTATTGCATCCGTTGTTCGTATATAATCGATGCCTTACGTTTTGCAGATACCTGAAAATCAGGTTCTATTTTCAAGCGCGTATAATAATAGCGATGCCAAATATATATAAATTCGATTAGATCAAGTGCAATTTTAAGTTCTTTCTTTCTTCTTATATATACATAGAAAGAGAGAAAGAAAGCAATCCAAATCCAAGCTTTGTCAAGTCCAGCATCAACATGACTTGCGTTTTATAGCTGCTTACAATTGGCTGAACCATAATCTTTTGGACCTTTGTAGACATGTTTTACTTATTTGTTTGATACTAAAGAGTAATTAAAAGAAGAAAGTGGACGGCTTGTAATCGAGAAAAACGCGCAGAAAACCATCTTGTAGAATCACACACTCCAACACTCAGACAAGAGTTCAAAAAACATTACACGTCACGTTTAATCAAACACCGCTCAAGGCTGCTTCCCGGCAACAGTACTTTCCCATATAAAAAGACAAGTCAAAGCTTCATTTATTACACAGACTTGTGTATATGAAATTCTTGGTTATCAATCAAGTCCAGAACAGCAAAATAAAGGAATAGAAGACAAACGCTCTTTGTAAGTATTGAGGACGAACCTTATCTCAGGTCTCTCCCTCTTGATCTAGGAAAAGTGTGACACTACATGATGGTTTGTAAGCAATATTTTTGTGTGTCAAAAATACCAATATACCATCGCGTTTATATACATATCTTTTTTAAATAAATACATAATTCACTGCTCTAGCTTATAATTTCGTCTCTTTTCTCGGCGTAACAATCGACTTTTTTCCTGTAAGAAATATCCTTCTCAGCATATCTCCTCATCTCATAACCAACAACACTCATGTCTCTATATTCAATTTTCTCTGCCTGCCGACATACCAACCTCTAATAAAACTATGCAGTATCAAAACCTTCAATTGATACACAAAATCTAACTGCCTCATTTTACATCATATGCTACCTAAACTGCAAAATTACATACAGAATATTGACTCATGTCAATGGCTATCATAGTTTTTAGAGTATCTTGAGAAGTCTCTGTACTAAATAATTAAAACACCTCCCGCTTACAGTGAAATGCCATTTTGACCCACACATTTTCTAGCATAAATAACCCAAAAGTTAATATCAACGGAGGTTCTTTAGAGTAAAAAAAAAACTTTAGATTATGGATCGTAATGTGCCTCACCAGATTATTTGTAGACTTAAAAAAAAAGGCCTTACTTGATTGATTGGGATATATAGCTGATTTTTTATATTTAATTTGCCATTTTAATCAAAAGAATCCTTTTTATAAAGTCTTCTTTTTTTAAATATATATTTCAGCTGTAAATTCCATAATATTCAAAGTGTATAGTATATATCTGCTTAAATTTACTATATTCTTTTAGCTATTATGATGCTAGGTGAAAGTAGGTAGATAAGCTAGGGTGTGAAGAGTTCAAGAGACCTTCAGACTTGATTGATTTAGTGGGATATATGTTATATATGTACATCCAAAAGTGAGTAACTATAATAATAAACAAAGTTAGCACAGTAGCTATGATCGTCTTTGTGATAGATTGTTGTCAATTTGTATGGATGAAAGTATATAATCAATATAGTATTTCTTATATTTACCTAAAGCCATTACTATCCTTCTTATCAGAGAGGCCGTGTTGTTTTTTTTTTAGCAATTTCGGATCAAATAACTACAAGTACACACCCCCTCTAACATATTACGGTTTGGTTGTAATATATCAGGTAGCTGGTTCGGGGTATAAGAGGGTTAATAAACCAGGTTAATGAACCGGGCTATTAATATGTTTTACTTTCTTTTGTGAACCAGATTAACACCACGGTTCATTACCATAGTGGAAAGCCTTACAACATATCCATTAAATCAATATATTTTTCTTTCATCTGTTTTCTTAAAAACAAACCACAAAAAATGTTTTATTCTTACAATAAATTTAGTAGTTGCAGCTTTAGATACACGCTTAACAGTTACAAAATGTACCTTGATTAATTGAGACTAACAGCCAACCAACTAATTTTATCAGCTGATATCTTTCTGATATTTATTTTTTTGACCGTTATGATCTATCTAGATTAACCAAATCATCACATTAGAAATTAAGTTTCACGTGATTAATTACATCATTCATGCTTGCGTTAGTCAACATATATTTGGGCGAATATAATTGTGAGGTATTGACTGTAATAGCCCTGCAATAACTTAGAATGCACATTTACACTACACAACAATTTGTATCTAAAATAAAACCCTGGGATTTAACTAATCAAATCTAATGTTCATGCTCTACATTTATATAAAACAAACGCGCTAGGTTATAGCTAAGAGGCATTAAAACCTCTAAGAGGCAATCTAGGCTAATAGACTCCCGTCAAGATTCAGTGATATATTGGCACTTATTGTCTGTATTTCACATCAAAATTCCGTAAAGTACGATTAACCTTGTTATGGTACAAAACGATAATTGAGCAAGTCCATCATCTAAAGTAAGTTTTATCTTTATACAAGCTATGAAATGTACCGTCTAATGCTAATTGTTTTATTTGCCTGAACCTGACTTTTCTGTATGACACGCCTAGATTCCGTAAAGTCCAGCTGGAATTACTGGGATAGAAGGTATGGCGAGTATTGTGCTATAATACAGGGGCCTCACTTCTTCTAGTGGCAGTCTGGGTTAGTATATTCATGTCAAAGACATGTGATATACTAGAAGCTCTTGCCTTTATTGCACGTCAGAATCCCGTGAAATACAATTGATCTTTCTATACCATAATATACTAAATAAGCAAATTCCCTCACATAAAATATGTTTTATATTTATACAAGCTTTTTGAAATGCACATATATCTAATTTTCATTTTCATTTTTTAGAATCTGCTGTTGATAAAAACACCTCTTATGAGAATAGACTCATTGCTCCAATATACACTTAACAAATATAGCATCTTCTTTGAGTAATTAGAATACATAAACTTATATTTATTATAAAGAGTTTATGGGGGTCAAGTACATTAGAAGAGTAGGAATTTCATTAATAATAATAATAATAATAAATAAAATAAAGAAGGAAATAATATGTGACCGACCAGTGCGAGCAGCAAGGAAATACTCAAACAAAAATGAGTGCTAAATAATTTGCTTCTCTTATTATATATATATATATATATAATTTATAGAGCAAAATAGCTCAAGGTAAAAAGATAAAATTTATAAGCATCTTAAAGTAGGTAAAAAAATTTAGTAACTTTACTAGTAATGTTTTTGTAAACCTTTTTTTTTGGAAAAAAGATTGTGGCTTTATTTGTACTCCACTCTTTGCTTCCAGCGTATGCTTGTAATGTCAGAATATAGGACGGCTTTCTTCATATAAACGTTTATACAAGCTGATATTCTGTTATGTAGAGCATATATAGATATATAGCTATTCTATAATGTCTCTTATGCTAAATAATATTCTCTTTTCTTTAAAAAAAATATCTCTAACTTTTGAACACTCCAAATTGATACCTTTTGGAGTGTTTGGTTTATGTATTCAACTAAAAAAAAATTGTACTTTTAGAAACAACTCGTATTTTTGCTATTGGGCATTTAAAGAGCTTATTGGAGTGGTGCAAGTTTCCCGAATTTCAGGGTTCTATGCTTTTTGAGAGTGAAAAAATCGGATATTTTGATCAAAATTCGAGTAATTGTAATATAATAAACCTCGAAGAGGTGGATCACAATGTGTCTCACCAGGTTACTTAAAGCCAAAAAAAAACATTGCTTATTTGATTCGATTTTTAATTTTCTATAATTGAAAAGCTATGATTACCATTGGTGTGCATTTGCATATGCTTGTAGAAAACTTAAAAAATATCATTTCCAGTACACTCATATTTAATCGACCATAGAAAAGGTTCATTTATACAAAGGCTCCGTGCTTCAAACTAAAATAGTCTCAAGCGAACCAAAGCTAGACTATGAACCTCAAAGTAATAAGTGGAATCATACTATACAGTACTGTAGCGCATTATATTGTATTACAAAACAAAAGTTATAAATCAAAGCCTTTAATCCAACAGAGTATTATTTCTAGGTTATTCGTGCATCCAGTTGAGTTTGGTATACAAGCACAAAATATCAAAAGCACTAGATCCTATAAATCGATAATTAGTAATCGATAGCGTCTTGTTCCCAGCCAAACAAAACCTATACGTTCAGTAGCAGTAGATTGTCTCTTTGCTTTCATATTGTGCCGTCAGTCAGTCTGAGCAATAACAGAAAAAAATAGTAAATAAGCAGAGCCTTTAAAAGGTGATTTATATATATGTAATAGCCATTTTACTAGCTTGATCTATCTGTGACCAGGCTAGCACAATTGCAAGCACCACTACTTTTTCATGGTGTATAGTGTAACATATAAATAATTATAATTATCGATAGAATGGTGTATATTTGAACACATATAAATGTAAAGTGTTTCAGGCAGTTGGGTTATGCTGTATTAATTTCTCGGTTGGATTATGATTGGTTTATAAAGTAGTACAAACCAAGGTCGATTGACAAACACTAGGCTAGACCCTGTTCTTCTTTTTACTTTTATTATACTCTAAGAACGATGCTTTAACTTGAGGTACCAACGACTTTCAATAGTCAGGCTGTCAATCCCTTCATACTGAAGCACTGAAAGTACTTTTATTTCAAGAAAGTATTCCTACACTTTGTGTTTATTAACTCAAGACACTGGTGAAAAAGCTAGAAGAAAAATGGAAGTCTTTCACACGAAAGAAAAGAAAAGATATAAGCAGCAATTTTTTTCGGGGGTGCTTCTTAAACTAATAAAGTCACAGCATGTGAAACAAACAAACAAGAAAACAAACAAATAAATATACACAAGACTTTAATTAAAGCTTTATAATCAACACAACTTTACACTTCTTTATTGTAGTTTAACGTCTAGCCGATTAATACTTTGTATATCAGTAGTACAGCTAAAATGAACACAGAGGCATATATAGTGTCTCGACAAGTGGCTGTTCAAAAGCATAAGCCTTGTTAACAGAATCACAACAGAAAGTAGAATAAAAAAGGGGATGGGGGTCCATAGCAACTGAATAATTTGACATGCATATAGTCCACCAATCGGAAGACATCATTTAAATGTTTTCATGCTAAAGTAAAGTCTGGACCACTATTGCTACTATGCTCCTCTAAGCCCCATGACACATGTGATGTTGCACGGACAGCACGGACCTTATGTGACATAAAACGAACCAAAAAAAAAAGAGGCAAGAGAAAAAAACAAAAAGTAAAACGAGTGCCTGCACAGCACGTCCTTCAGAATGTAAGTGATACTTCTTTAAAACCCAAAACCCATATTTTAAGCATAGATATTAAATAAAGAAGTAAAATAGTAATAATATATACATGTTGTCAAGGCTAAAAGATAAAAGAAAACCGAAAAAGGAATAAGAAAAAAACCGAATTTTATAATATATTATCAAACTATCATAATAAAAATAATAAAAAAGAACAGCAACTCATGATTGAGACGTCATGAGTTTTATAAAAAAAAACACCTATCCAAACAGAACGCGTCAAAACAACTCTCTTCCACATACTATTAATACTTTATACACTTCTTTACTGCTCTCTCACAAACTGCTTTAATCAACATAGACGTTAAAGACGAATCATGACCAATACAAATCCATTTTGCTAGTCAAATCTCAGGATTTTATCATATGTAAAACAGTCAGTAGCAAGATATAAGACAATACGTCAAAACCAGTACACAGCAAAAATGAAATACCGAGGTCCAACACTGGTTTGACCATCAATCCATCCAAAGCCTATTCACGCTCAGAAACAAGAGATAAACTGACAGGACTTACTATATTTCAAGGAGTATATGATATTCATCAAAGACACACATTGTGAAGATTATATTTGTCTAGTCTTTTGACAAACAAGGTCAACGATAAAAAATAAGATCTCCATCCAGGCCTACAGGTATATAAAGGCTCGTTGATTAATCATTCACTGTCTTTGATATTTCTGTAGGGACTTTTCAGGCAAAGTCAAGCAATCAAGAACAGGTTTCCATCCAGGGCCACAGGTACACCAAGACTCGAGGAGCATATGCTCATTGTCTTTTGTATGCTTCTAGTGCCTTCCGTCCAGGTCAAGCATCAGGGATCCGATCAGAGTCCATGGTTATCAGGTATATCAAAACTCTATGAGCAGTTACTCACTTGTTTTTGTATATTTGTAGTATCCATTCCATCCAGGTCAAGCTTCAAGGTCCAGGTCAAGGTCCACGGTTTTCAGGTATATCAAAACTCGATGAGCAGTTACTCACTTGTTTTTGTATATTTGTAGTATCCAATCCATCCAGGTCAAGCATCAATGTTCCGATCTCCCAGCTATGGTCATAAGTATAACAAAAGCATATGCGCATTTACTCACTAGCTTTTATCTATTACTAGTGTCAGCCATCCAGGTCAAGTGTCAAGGACCCGATTTCCCGGCAATGGGTATAGGTATAACAAATCGTTGTGGGAATATACTCACTAGTTATAATATATTTATAGTGTTCAGTCATCGATGTCAGGCGCCAAGGTTGCGATCTTCCAGCCAAGGTTATAGGTATAACAAAACATTATGGAAATATACTCACTGGTCTTAATATGTTTTTAGTGTTCACTCATCCAGGTCAATCAACAGGATTCTGATCTCCCGTCCATGGTTATAGGTATAACAAAACGTTATGGCAATATACTCACTATTTTAAATATATTTCTAGTGTTTAGCCATCCATGTCAAGCGTCCAGGTTCCGATCTCCCAACCATGTTTACAGGTATAACAAAACGTTATGCGCATTTACTCGTATGCTTTTATCTATTACTAGTGTTCAGCCATCTAGGTCAAGTTTCAAGGTTCCGATTGCCCGCCCATGGTTAAAGGTATAAAAAACGTTATGGGCATATATTGACTAGTTTTTATATTTATTTGTGAACTCCAGCCATCCGTGTCAAGCGTCAAGGACCCGATCGCCCGTCCATGGTTATAGGTATAAAAACATTATGAGCGTATACTCATTAGTTTTTATATTTATTTAAGACTCCAGCCATCCGTGTCAAGCGTCAAGAACCCGATCCCCCGTCCATGGTTACAGGTATAAAAACATTATGGGCAAATACTTACTAGCTTTTATCTATTTCTAGTCTCCAGTCATCAATGTGAAGCGGCAAGGACCCGATCGACCGTCAATGGTTATAGGTAAAAAAAACCATTAGGGACATATACACACTAGCTTTTATCTATCTCTAGTCTCCAGCCATCCAGGACAAGCATCAAGGTTCCGATCTACCAGCTATGGTTATAGGTATAACAGAACGTTATGCGCATTTACTCACTAGCTTCTATCTAGTACTAGTGTTCAGCCATCCAGGTCAAGTGTCAAGGACCCGATCGCCCGGCCATGGGTATAGGTATAACAAAACGTTATGGCAATATACTCACTATTTTAAATATATTTCTAGTGTTCCGCCAATCATGTCAAGCGTCCAGGTTCCCATCTCCCTGCCATGGTTATAGATGTAAAAAACATTAGGGACATATACTCACTAGCGTTAATATATGTCTAGTGTTCAGTCATCCAGGTCAAGCATCTAGGTTCTGATCGCCAATCCATGGTTAAAGGTATAAAACAACATTATGGGCGTATACTCACTGTTTTTATCTAGTTCTAGTCTCCAGCCATCCAGGTCAAGCATCAAGGTACTACTCGCCCGTCAATGGTGACAGGTATAACAAAATGTTATGGGCATATATTCACTAGTTTTAATATATCTCTAGTGTTGGGCCATCCAGGTCGAGCATCAAGGTTCCGATCTCCCAACTATGTTTACAGGTATAACAAAACATTATGCGCATTTACTCACAAGCTTTTATCTATTACTAGTGTTCAGCCATCCAGGTCAAGTGTCAAGGTTCCGATTTCCCGGCCATGGTTAAAGGTATAAAAAAATTGGTATATACTCACTAGTTTTGATTTAGTTCTAGTCTCCAACCATCTGGTCAAACATTAAGGTTCTAATCTCCCAGCCAAGGTTATAGGTATAACAAAACGTTATGGGCATATACTCACTAGTTTTAATATATGTCTAGTGTTCAGTCATCCAGAACAAGCATCACGGTTCTGATAGCCCGTCTATGGTTATAGGTATATAAAAACATTATGGGCATATACTCACTAGCTGTAATATACTTCTTGTGTTCAGTCGTCCAGGTCAAGCATCAAGGTTCTGATCTCCCCGCCATGGTTATAGGTATAAAAAACATTATGGGCATATACTCACTAGATTTAATATATCTCCAGTCTCCAGCTATCCAGATCAAGAATCAAGATTCCGATCTCCCCGCCATGGTTATAGGTATAAAAAGCATTATGGGCATATACTCATTATTTTAATCTAGTTCTAGTCTCCAGCCATCCAAGTCGAGCGTCAAGGTGCCGATCTCCCGTTTTATGGTTATAGGTATAACAAAAATCGATGAGCAATCACACTCGGCTTTATTTATTTCTAGTGTTGAATCCACCAAGATCATGCTTCACGGATCCGGATTCAGTCCGTGGCTATAGGTATACAAAAACTCGATGAGCAATTACTCATTGGATTTTATATATTTCTAGTGTCTACTCATCCACGGCAATTATCAGGATCCGATTTTCATGAATTGTTATAGCTAACCAAGTTTCCTTTAAACCTTTACTTAAAACAAACTATACTCTTTATTTATACTTTCTTTTGATGGCAAAGAACGATGATCAAATATACATCCATTATGGAAGGTATACAAGTCGTTCTTGGCCATTACTAACCTAGAAGTATATATGACTATTGTTTTTACTCTCCAGGCCAAACAGCAAGGATCAAAACTCAAATTTGGGCTACAGGTAAACAAGTCTTCTTGAGCTTTTACTTACTGTCATTTATATATTTCTAGTGTTTTTTTTTCCTTAAAGTTCAAATATCAAAGATCTGATTTCAAATCAAGGTTACGGGTACACACTTTTCTCTCTGTCTTTACATGGTTTCTTTTGTATTGGCCTAGTGTGTTTACGATCCGGCTACACAATGAAAATTTTGTTTTCCTTCCAGTGCGACAGGTATATACATCTAGTTCGGCCTTTAGTTACTGTTGGCTTTATTTCTCTACTGGCTTCATAGTCCAAGCCAGCCATCATGGATCCTATATCCGTCCAGTGTTACAGGTATACACTTCTCTTTGGGATTTTACTTACTGTCGGTTTTAATTTTCTACTGTCCTTAAAGTCAAGGCCAACGACCAATCATCTGATATCCGCCTAGAATTACAGATATAAAAATGTTATTGGGCCGTTACTTATAATTGTTTTTGTTTCTCTAGTGTCCTTGCAGTCAAGGGTAACGAGCAAGAACCCGGTCTTCATATTGGGATATAGTGTTACGCATCTCTTTGATTTTTGACTTGCTGCAAACTGTATTTTTTCTCGTGACTTTACAGTCAAATTCAACACTCAAGGATTCGGTTTCCATCAAGTTTTACAGGTATACAAATCTGACAAGTGCTTTTATTTAATGTGTCTTTTTTTTTGTCAAGTGCCTTTACTGTCTATGCCAATGATTCCGAATCCGAGCCCTATCCAGAGTGACAGGTATACAAATATGTTTGCGTCTTTACTAACTTTTAGTTTTATATGTCTAGTGCCTATACGGTTTAGGCCGAAGAACTAGGACTTGATATTCATCCAGACTTGCAGATATATATTTTTCGTTGGGCCGTTGATTATTGGCTTTTTTTATCCGTCTATTGTTTTTACTGTCAAGGGCAACCATCAAGGATTCGATCTCCATCCAGTATGACAGGTATACACTTTTCTTTGGGTTTCTACTTATCGCTTGTTTTTTTTTGTCTAGTGTTTTCACCGCCCAGGTCGAAGAACAAGGATTTCTTCTTCATCCACGGTTACAGGTATACAATTCTCTTTTAGCCTTTGCATAACGCTTGTTTGATTTTTCTAATTTCATTAATGTCTATGCTAAATAATAAGCATCTACTCTCCATCTAAGGCCATAGGTTTAAAAAATATTTTTAAGTATTATTTTACTATTTATTAATTAATTAATTATTATTTTTTAATTTTACACAGCCAAGGCCAATCGATCCAGGTTTACTGTCCTCTAGGGTAACAAGTATATGTACATACCTGATCGTTTACTTACTGCTTGTTGTTTCGAGTAATTTTTATTTATTCAAACTGAATTACCAAAGTTTTACTATCTACCTCGTGCCTGAGGTATACAGGTCTCATTTAGTACTCACGTATCACTTATTATTCTGTCTAGCTTTTTTATAGTTTAAGCCAGCAATCGGGTTTTTAATCTCCATTAAGGATTAAAGGTATACATGACTATGTGAACCTTTACTTACTAGCTATTATATTTTCTAGTCTTTTTACAGGAAAGGCCCACAATTAATATGAGTTGTCTATCCGGGGGGGACAGGTATACAAATCTGCCAAAAAATCTACTTACTATATATTTGCATAATGTTTTTACAGCCGAAGCCAACGATCAAAGCTTTGATATTCTTTTGGGCTCACAGGTATAAAAGTCTCTTTGACTTTTTAGGTACTATCAGTTGTTTTGTTCTAACCCTTTCTTCTCCGTAGCAAGCGTTCAATGCTCAGCTCTACATCAAAGGTCGCAGGTATACAAGAATCTTTAAGCAATTTACTAAAAATTAGATTTTCCTAGCGTTTACATAGTCAAGGCGAAATGATCATGTTCTTTCTATCCATTCAAGGTTCTGGGTACACACGCACATTTTAGCATTTATTCTTCACTGGTTGAATCTTTTTAATCTTTGACAGTCCATGCCGAGAATCAAGGTCGCACTTCAAAAAATAGGGTTAAGGTATACATGCCTTTTTAAGCATTTACTTACTACTAGATGCTTTATTCAGACTTTATACAGTCGAGACCAAAGATCAAGAGCCCGATTTCCGCATAGATTTACAGGGATACAAGTGGCTTTCTTTACCCATTAACATATTGATAGCTGTTTGAAGCAGTCTTTTTACAGTTCAATTCAACAGTCAAGGTTCAAATCCCCGTCAAAAATCACTGATATACTGCCACTTTTTAGTATTTACTTACTGCCAATTGTGTTTCTTTAGTCTACTCACAGAAAAGGCCAACAATCAAGATGCCACTCTCCTTCTTGGATGTTAGGTATACCAGTATCTTTGGGTATTTACCTATTACCAGCTTTAGTTCGGTAGTCTTTTCACAATTGAGGCCAACACCCAAGATTCCATAGTTCATGCAGGGTTACTGGTATATATACCTCTTTGAGCATTTGCTTGGTGTCTGCTATATTTGTCTAGTCTTTTCATAGTCAAGGCTACTAATTGAGATTCCGCTGCTCATCTAGGGTAAAAGGTATATATGCTTTTTTTTTAATAGTTAATCATTGCTTGTTGAAATTGTCTAACAATTTTACAGTCAACGCTGATGATCAAGTTTCTGCTATTCGTCGAGGTAACAGGCGTACACCCTCCTTTGAATATCTTTCTATCATCCATCATATTTATCTAGTCATACCATAGTCCACACCAAGGTTCAAGAGTTTAGTCTCCACCCAGGTTCACAGACATTCAAGTATAATTGCCCTTTTAGGACTGCCGGCTGCTATTGCCTATTGCTTTTAATATATAGGTCAAGGGATAAATTTCCTACTCTCAACCATGAGCCACAGGTATCACCGTTTATTTTGAACATTTATTTATTATCGATTACATTTGATTAGTATTTTAAATCCGAGTCCAACGATCAAGCTTCAGCTTTCCGGGAAGGGTTGAAGATATCCATGTATCTTTGATTTTTTTTAATATCGACTGAATTTCTCTGGCGTTTGCACATTCAAGTCCATTGATCAAGTCTTTGGTCATTATCAAGTTTCCACTCAACATTATTGGGTAAAGGTATATAAGATTCTTAGATTACTTTTTTACAGCCAATGACATTTATCAAGCGTTTTTAGAGTCCTGGTCAACGATCAAGATCCTGCTATTAATTCAACGTTTTAGATATATAAGTGTATTTAAATATTACTTTACTACTGATTCTATCTATTTAATCTTTTTTTTCTTTTTCTTTTTTACATTCTATGCTAGCCCTCACGGCTCTAGTCTCCATCAAGGCTTATAGACATACAAGGTTTTTTTTATTGGAATATGTTCTTACTATCAGTTTTAATTTTTCTAGTAATTTCACAGTTCATACCAACGATTAGGCGTCCGATTTCTATCCAGGGCTACAGGCATACATCTTTATTACACCATTTACTTACAGCCTGTTTTATATGTCCAGAATCTTCACAGCTCATGTCAACAGTCACGGTTTTGACCTACATCTCCAACCATAGGTATATATATATTTCCGAGAATTTACTTACTATTAGGTGTATTTTTCTAGTGTTTTCATAGTAAAGACCAACGATTAATATTCCGACATTTTCCTACAGTCATAGACATACAAGTCTCTTTGAGCCTTTAGTTACTTTAAGCTGTATATTCCCATACTTTTTATGGCAAAGACCAGCGATCAAGGTTTCACTCTCCATAAAAATCCTCAGGTATACAAAACTCTTTAAATATTTTCTTACTATCAATTAGATTATTCTAGTGTTTACACAGTCAAAGCCAAACTATAAAGCCTCTGTTGCCCGTCCAAGTTCTCCAGTATATATATATTGAGCATCTACTTACTGGTTGTTGTTTTTAGTTATCTTGACATAGTCAAAACCAACGATTAAGGTTTCACCATACATCCAGGGTATGAGATACACATGTCTCGTTTAGTATTTAGCTATCAACTATTATTTTGTCTAGCTTTTTTTTTATATATTTTAAGCCAACGATCAAGTTTTGAGTATTTATTCATGATCACAGGTATATATTTCTTTTTGAACATATACTTATTGTTGGCTTTCTTTTTTTAGTCTATTTACCACCAGGGCGAACGATCAATATTCCGCTCCCCATTTTGGGCTATATGTATACATGACTCTTTAAGCAGTTAATACTTGTCGCTTTTATTTGTCTAGTCTTTTAATCGCCAAGTCCAAAATTTATGGCTCTGCTCTACATCATGGGCCGTAGGTATACAAGTCTCTTTGTGAATCTATTCACTGATGGTTATAAATACTTATAATTTCACAGTTGGTGTCAAAGACCATTGTTTAACTCTTATTCATATGTTACAGGTATACATTGTTTAGTTGCCCATTTTTCTTTGAATGATGCTTGTATTTGCTTATTTTTTTCTTCTCTTCGTAGTTTAGGTCAATTATCATGGTTCTATTCTTTATTAAGGATTAAAGACATAGGAGGAGTTTTTAAAATTTTCTCACTGAAAATTGTATTTACTAATTTTTTTTACAGCCGATACCAGGTATCAGTATTCTACTCTCTATTGTGGGCCACAGCTATATTTGTCTTTATTTACTATTTCGATAGCACAATCTAACGCTAAAAAACTCAATCTCTATCAAGGGTCACAGGTATACCAGTTTATTTGAATATATTACTACAAATTATTTTTGTATATTATTTTAAACAGACAAGCCCAACGATCAAGATTTCGGGCTCGAGTATCATATATCTGCATATGTATTTGTTTCAATAACTACTTTATGCT